ATACCAATGTCGATCGATCGGAATTGCATTCAAGAGTAAGCCCCCTGAGCCAGGAACTACAATAATGTCTATATTATGTGTATTGCAAAGAATACCTCTTTAACCCATTGGCCTCCATTCCAACAATCCTTGTTTCTACAAGAGAATAAAACTGAAAAAGGATTTGTGCAATATCCTTTAAAAATGAAACAAAAGAGCTGTGTTCACAGATAAAACAGTGGAACGGTTTAGCTTGGAACTGTAGCGTTGGGAGTTATAAAGATTTCAGTATAGAGCTCATAGCGCGCGTGACTTCAATGCTTAGCACACGATTTCCTACCAACCGAGGATATTTACTCTAGAGCACACTTTTAATCTTTTTTACTTCGTGACCTGGTGGTCCAGTGCGAGATTAAAATGAAATTACATACTATAATATCACGTCTTTTATTTTTTCTATGGCATAAGCCTGTAAACGAGCCGTCGGATCACCTGGTGGTAAGCAATCGGCGTCGCCCATGGACACCTGAAACACCAGAGGCGTTACAAGTGCGTTACCGGCCTTTTGGGGATTAGGAGTTTGAGGATCGTTGGGGATTCAGGGATTGGGGAGATTGTGGAAGGGGAGGGTGGTAACTCACTCACACGACGTGAAACAACTCAAGCGATGTTTCACGTCGGTTTTCTGTGAGGCCGTGGTATTACTCCTTTATAATTCGTGAAGGTAGAGTCAGTTTTACATACACAATAGAGTTTTTTTTTCTATTTTTCACAAGTTATGTCATGAGTTCTTATGTATCTAATAGGAGAAGGGTCTATTACCCCATACTGGGCACAATTTCAGAGTTATGTTATGACTATGGGACAAAACCGAAAGAAAGCCCCAATAATTTTGGACAAGGTGCCAAAAACTCTTGTTAAATATTAACTTATTAACAAAAGTTTTTAATAAATAATAAAAAGAACACTTACTGTTAATGAAGAAGAGCTTCTGTACAACGAACTACAAATTAGGAACTTAAATAACTTTAGTGAAGGAAACGTTATGCTCACAGATATAGATCTGTGGTTATGCTAATAAAATTTTGCCTGTACTTACTTTATTACTTCAACAATTAAGCGCACACCAACCAATGGTTGTCGTCCTCTGTGTTCATAGATCGCGGTGCTAACAGGTCATGTGTAGGCGCATATTTATTGGTACCCAGCCTCCAGGCTACGCATTCGTCGCGGCGCGGGCGGGCCGCGCATCCCCCTACCCATCACATAGACAAACTCGGTATGTTACAGCTATTTTACATAATTTTGGTGTATTTTTCGTTCGTCGTGCATAAATAATATCGAAAAATGTTAATGTAAAATTAATATTTAAATTAAAATCATTTTAAAATGTGATCGTTCACATCAATAGTTACCTAACTTTTTAAATGTTTTTAATATTGTTGTTACATCAATAAATGTCAGTAGTTATAGTTAAAAATACGTATTGATTTAATACAAAGTTTGATAATATTAGATGGAACACTATACAGTGCTGTACAAAAATAACTACTTCTATATTTCGTATTCTTCAGGAAGTACCTAAGTCTAAATATAAATTGTGTAGTCGTAGCCGAATAATATGTTAGTTTTAGGTAAGCTCATTCATTAGCTTTATACTTTTTATTTTCTTAAACTTAGATCAATGATATTTGGAGTACAGATATTGTGTGACATACAAGGTGTTACCGGAAAGCTGACAAAAGGAAATTGTTACAATTTCAATCGTTTTTATAATAACTATCGTGAGACATCACACAAAATTAAATAAAATCGCCGGATACTCACGTGAATATACTGAGAAAAGCTCTACTAGTTTCGAACCACAGAGGGGTTCTTCCTCATGAGCAGCGTGCGCGGTCGCGACGACCTAGTAAGAATTAGTAGAGCTTTTCTTAGTACGTATATATTCACGTGAGTAACCCGTGATTTTAGTTAATTTCAATCGTTTTCGTGTTTTCGTCATGCATCATCAGCCTTGAGCAGCTGATTACAACATTATTACATAGTAAGTAGAAACATCTAATTCCTTACTTTTATCAAAATAAAACTTGTTTTTTACCATCACCTTCGTCTTTTGGGAGCGTTCCGTTTTCACCATGTATACATATTTTTATGGGTAAATACGAAGTACAAACACATTTATCGCGTAAAATTTCAATTCATTATTACATAGGTACCAATCCACTGTCTTATAATAACAATCAATGTAATTAATACAAAAATTACTAGGATTTTGTACCCCTTTTTCTAGGTTTTCAACCACACTAGGATTTGGTGCGGAATTTGAACCCATAATACGTTAATATTTGTCCTGTCGCCAAACCATTGCGTTGGTGCAATGTTTGCATTATAAATACCATCTATTTGTATATTATATTGGAAGTTTTATCCGACTTTAGTTTACCCTTAGTATACTATACTATGGGGAATAAGGTCCACATTCGTCTGCACCTCTAATTGTGAGTGTAATGAAATCCTTATTCCATTCACTATGTACATACGTACTGTGTTACTGACCTCACTTAATATTGTATCTTTTAATAAAGAACATAGAGTTGTGTTGTATACAAAAATATCTGTGTAAAGAATTAAAAGAATGATTATAGAATGATAACAATAAGAACTAGTTTGCTCACAATTTTAGCGATGCATTACCATGTACTTAGTAATATCAGTAGTGGCGTAACTATACCGTTTGAGGTCCGTCGCAAATTCATTGGATGGGATCCCGTTCCCAATAAAAAAGAGAGGAATTCAAATGAAATTCTCTGAATTGGGGCCATTTCCATTTCCCAATTCCATCTTGGAGCCCGTGGCAATTTGCCGATTAGCTACCCTGAAGTTGCGCCACTGAGTATCTGTTATTGATACTTACCAATATAACTCACACTACCTACATGGATGCATTACCATGCATGTTGTCGTATCGCATATATTTTGTAATAATTGTAAATGTATGTGTGGAGCTTTTTTTAAGAAGGGGAAATCATCGAATGACTTCTCCTGTCTGAGTGAGGCGAGGTGGACTCTTACTGACTAAAAACCACCCCGTTCCTACACCTGCCCTTCCTAAGTTGTTAGGTCCTTCACGATCGTGGCGCGATCCCCGACGCCCGGAGTGTCACGGTGCCCGGAGTGTCAGTGTTCACGACGGCTGGGTTGTGAGCACGGCACGCTAGCATGACTGCTTCGCAAAAGGAGGAGACGGCATTTTGCAGTCCTCCTCGCTCCGCATCATGGCCCTTAGATCTTAGAACTTGTGGAGCTTGGGCTTCTTTCGAGCTCAGCAAAGAGCTCAGTCTTCTAGTGAACACTTGAAAAGCAAGTGTATTAATTCTATATCTAGTATATGTCTCTTTTAGCGGAATAGGGTTGATTTGTATGATTTATTCTGTTTAAGGATTTCAATGGATTATAGATAACGTTTTGTAATTCCAAATTACCTAGTTATATAGTGTCTTTTTACCTTTAAACCTATAATTTACTGTTTGCCTATAAATGTTCAAAATCCCTTAATCTTTTGTGTGCGTAAGCAACTTGAATCCAAAATGGCTACGAAGTAATAAAACAACGCGTTAACAATACAACGCAACCAGATTTGTTAAAACAATTAAACAGCCGAAATCTGAATAAACGAAAGCCAAAATTGTTTTCATTGAAATCATGGACTTTGTGTTTAATAAACAAATTGGTTCAACCACTCGGTCGCTCGCTAAAATTAATTACCCGCTCGCCAATTGGTGGTTGTCATCTCCATATAGACGAATGTGTTTGTTAGAAAGGTTACTGGAGCGGCCGTTAGTTGCTCATGACATCTTTAGATGATTGGGGAATAGGCGCGGAGTCGACGCCCTGGTTCCATAGCCTTGGACTATCTGCTCTATCGGGAACATTGATTTATATTGCCGTTCATGAAGATGTATGTTCGGAATATTTAATGTATTGTCATTGCTACATTTTGAAGATGCGAGTCTTTGATTGTTAGGAATTTGTGCTGATAGCATTTAATAGAGATTTTATTGTGATCGTTCCGTTTGTTACGTAGTTTGCGTGTGCTAGTTTTAACTTAGTTAATTTTATGTACTGTTCAGTTGTATTTTGTATATTGGCGAAGCTATTTTGATTTTATTATTAGTAGGGATCTATGCACCTTAGAACATCTTATTACTATTTGCATGTTCTATGTATATTGCATATGTTTGCACGCAACTTCTATGTTGTCCCCTAAAGATAAAGAACTTTACAGAAAGTAGATTTCTTAAATAATTAAAGGATTATTAAGAAAGATTAATTAAGTAGAGCTACGTACAACTTACATGTTTTTTTTTGAAATGTCCCCATTGAGGTCAGCACTACTTAGCTACTGTCTAATCTCATTAAGGGAACATACTGCTAAGTCAGCGACCTTTTTTACAACTTGAATTAATTCTCTCAACATATTTTACCCAGTTGATCGAGTAGTCAAAAGCTCGATTGCCAAGAAAGTCGTCTCGAATACGATTGCAGGAAGGTTATAAGATTATAATTTTTAAACGTTTTCTATGAGTAGGTAAATAGCACTGATTTTAAAACTATGCCTTGTTATTACACGGGACTTCGGTGTAATAATTAGAAATACAATATATAGTAACATCACTTAACTCGTCGAGTACCGGTTTTATAGACACAATTAAAGAACAATAGGTCGCGGTCACCGGTGACCGCTTGGTGTTTGACAGTTTAATCCTTTTTTTTTAAACTTTGCCCCACACTAGTAATTTCTCCTATGTCGTGAGTGCATTGACAAACATACAAGTTCACATACACATGACACTCAGACCGGAACAACAATCTGTGGATCACACAAAATGTTGTTCCGTGCGGGAATTGAATCCGCGACACGTTGCACGGCAGCCGGTTGCCCAGCCACCGCACCAACCGAGTAGCAACCAATTAAATGAACGTGCCTTTAATACTGTCTCTTGTTTATCCAGATAGCCATGCGGTGGTTGAAGGCAGCTTGCTGGGCACTGCTGGTGCTACCGGCAACCTGCAAGGAACTGTCAGAGGTTCCAATCCGCGAGGAGATAATACAAGAACTACCGCAGGCCCAGGATCCCGATCTCATCAACTATGACGATTACAACCCTACTTTCGAAGAAGATGAAAATGGTATATTCACTAATTAAAGTTATTTATTGTGTGTTCAAGATTAAGTGCTTTTTATTTTACTATTGAATATTTTATTTATTAAATGTTTTGGTGATGACTAATGTGACTCAGTTATGAGCTCTTGTGCTATAAATACTTAATTTTCACTCATTAAGAAACATGTAATTTTATGTAATTTATTACTATTGTAAATATTAAGGTCTTAATCTATTTTGGTATTGGGTACCTACACATACAAGTAATGTTATGTAATCTAAAAATGTCTTTAATAATCCACATGAGCACGTTGAAGTAACTTAAATTGTCTTGTTTCAGCTGTCATAGGCGATAGATTCCGTGAACCATCAAGCAGTAAGTTCATTACTTGATTACGAACTTTAAGAACTTTGCTCTTTGTCAGCGGAGTTCGTTTTGCTCGGAAAGTTCTTATTGCGTTTGGAGTTATTTGTGTTGACATTGAGTTCTGTTTCAGCCACGCCGCCTTACCGAAGACCTACTCCGGCAAGAACGGTTAGACGTAAGTAGATATTACATTGATGATTGTTTATGTTGCTTATGAGAATACAGTTCACTTATTGGCTTTCTTTTCTTAAGCCTTGCGTCGTCATCCATTGACACTCTTCATATTAGGATAGTAGACCAAAGGACTTTTTAATATAGACTAGGCAGTAGCGCTGTCTGCTAAACCTGATCCTTTCAAACTGCGATCTTCAAGCCTGGATAGGGCACGGGCAACCTCTTTTGTAGAGGAGTCCACCGTCCAGCAGTAGGCTTTCACAGACTATTGATGATGATGATGATGACAGTTCCTACTAATAACGTATGTTTGTTTGATCTTGTAGCGACTCCCAAATGTGTGGACATTGGTCGGACGTGGAATGAGGGAGAGAACTGGAAGCGGGACAACTGCACCCTCTGCCAGTGCCACGCTGGACGTGTCAACTGCTCCACCATACCTTCCTGTCTTACTTCTAGTTAGTGCTACATACATTATAAAAACCAAGTATTAATTTAAAAGACAAGTAGATCAGCATTTTAAATTGAGCAATTTGATTAAACGATTGTTGACGATCTTTATTATCATTAGATATTCCAAGTATCAGTCTTAGCTAATTGGTCTGTTGGTACCTACAATCATTTATAACTATCCTATGGAATGATCGACTAATTCATTTTATTTATCATCAGCTCCGACAAGACCAGTGTTAATCGGCGCAGCGGCTCAACCAACGACGCCGGTGCGCGGATCTGTTGGCTTGCAAGGAGACGATGGACCGCCCGGCCCGCCCGGACAGCCTGGCGTCAACGGCGTCCCTGGAGCCCCTGGCTTGCCTGGACCCGTTGGACAAATGCCTGACGTAAGAGCATAACTTGTAATATTACAATGGCGAACCAACTGAATATTAAAGAAATATGGGTTCAATGCATTACTTCCTGCTCAGGTAAACGCATACTTGGCTCAACTGGCGGCTTCAGCTGGCGGTGACAAAGGACCTCCATTCGATCCATACCAGTACATGCAAGCTTCCGTCGGCACCCCGGGCGTCAGAGGCATACCAGGTACAAGACCGCTTTTCTAATGAATAATATCTAGAGGTATAGTCTAACTTCTGTTTAATAGATCAGATCTAATGGTACTTGATTTCTTTTAATAGGACCACAAGGCCCTCCCGGCCCACAAGGTTTCCAAGGACCGAGGGGAGAGCCTGGAGAACCAGGTCTTCCTGGACAACTAGGACCACCGGGCGAAAGAGGACCCCAAGGATTACCTGGAAAAGATGTAATATTCACTTTACTTACCTACTTTGGGCACTATTTGTTGCAATTATAGAATATGCACTAATTTACTTGTCATTTTATTTAGGGTTCACCAGGAGATGACGGAGAACCCGGCCCTGCTGGTGTTATAGGTCAAACTGGACCTCGTGGTCTCCCAGGAGTACCTGGTATTCAAGGTTTGAAAGGACATCGAGGTTTTGACGGCAAAGATGGTGCTAAAGGAGAGCAAGGATTGCCAGGAGAAAAAGGACCTACTGGCATGCCTGGTCCTATGGGTCCAGCTGGACCTGTGGTAAGATATTGATAGCTTTTCAAGTAAAATAAAACATTAAAAAAGAGTATTATGATTGTGAAAATGTATTTGTTAATTTATGGGGCTATAAGTTGAAAATATTGCAATAAATTACTTTCAGGGCCCAGTTGGTGCAAGAGGTGAAAGAGGTCGTGAAGGTCCTCCCGGTCCTCCAGGAGTACGAGGCGTTGATGGTGCTCCGGGACCCCAAGGATTAATGGTATAACACTACTTCATTAAATTAAAATTAATTAATTAAATTGTTTTAGTGAAAATACTAAATATATATTTTTTTGCCTCTTAGGGCAATGTCGGCAAACCGGGTTCACCAGGATTCCCAGGTGCTCCAGGGCTAAAAGGTGAACAGGGTGTTTCTGGACCAAAAGGTAGTCAAGGAATGCAAGGACCTCGAGGCGAAGCAGGTCGTCCTGGACAACCCGGTGAAGTGGGAACGCCGGGTATACCAGGCCGTGATGGTATTCCTGGAGAAAAAGGTGTACAAGGGCAACCAGGGGCTTCAGGCCCACAAGGTTTCCCAGGACCTAGAGGATTGCCTGGAGTAGCAGGAGATGCAGGATTACCTGGATCAAAAGGAATGCCGGTAAGATATTTTATTTTATTAATTTAGAGGTTACTTTGTTCTGTTTTTATTACTAAACTTGGACTAAAAAAGACAAATGACAGATTAAGATGTTGTTGAAATTGAGTTACATTGCAAATGTAATATTTTCTAAAGGGTCAACCTGGTGAACGAGGCCAAAAAGGAGACAGTGGAATCAGAGGGGAACCTGGTGCACCCGGACCGCGCGGGCTACCTGGTAATATTGGTCCAGAGGGAAAACGAGGAAAGAGAGGACTGAGAGGACCCGCTGGCAATGTAGGACCTCAAGGTGAAAGAGGATTACAAGGCATGAGGGGTCTACCTGGTGCAGACGGACCTATGGGTGCTAAAGGTCAACCCGGTGAGAGAGGCGGTGTTGGATTACCTGGATCTAAGGGAAGTTCTGGCGACCCTGGCAGACCAGGACCTCAAGGCCTACAGGGACCAAGGGGAACTATCGGAAGGCCTGGAATGCCTGGAAAAACTGGTCCTCAAGGTGAAAGGGGCATACCAGGAGCTGATGGAAGGCCTGGAGAACAGGGATCTCAGGGTATTCAAGGTCCGCCTGGATTAATGGGAGGGCCTGGTGAACGAGGGTTGCAAGTAAGTATTACTAACTATTAATAAAAATCAAATGATCTCTAAATTGTCAACAGCTAAATTTTGTTTTTTTATATTATAGGGTGAACCTGGTAAAGATGGTGAGCCAGGACAAGCTGGACCTCAAGGACCGAAGGGTGATGCGGGTCGCGACGGTGGTCCTGGAATTCAAGGACCTCAAGGTGTCGCCGGACCTCCAGGAGAAAGAGGCCCTTCTGGACCTGCTGGACCTACTGGATTCCCCGTGAGGCTACTTCGTATTGCACTAGCATTTGCTTTCAATTAGAAAAACCTTTTTTATGCGTATACCCACTAATGAACTTTCAATTGTGGGCAGTCTGCGCGTTGACTATTCGTAGTATTGAATATCTCTATTAATAGAGAGATATTACTACACTCAGCAACTAAATTATACTTTAAGAAATTATTAAATTATCAAATAATCAATGAATAATTTAATGCAGGAACAAAAACCACAATTATTGAGAAAAATAACATAATTAACTACATTTTATTACGTTTAGGGTATGCCAGGAGCAGCTGGTCTACCGGGTTCACCTGGTAAGGAAGGTGAGCCAGGCATGGCTGGACCTTCCGGCCCACCAGGACCATCAGGTCCTCGTGGAGAGAGAGGTTTCACTGGAGATCGAGGACAACCAGGACAACCTGGAAGCCCGGGAGAAAAGGGAGAAACCGGCGCTCAAGGTCCTGACGGACCTCCGGTAAGTGTCAAAATTATAACTTCATATTGTACAACAAAAAGTTCTAAAACGAATGAAAAAAGTTTTATCAGTGAGAATAATTTTGTAATAATCTGATACTATAATTTTATTCAGGGTCCCGAAGGTCTGAGAGGTAGCAAGGGTCATCCAGGCTCTCCCGGTGCGATGGGCTTGCCTGGACAACGTGGTCTAACTGGAGCTCCCGGAGAAAAAGGAGAAAGAGGCGCTGCTGGACCACCTGGCAATGATGGACAACCAGGTTAAATAATGTTCCAAATATAGTATTCCACATGTAACAATAGACATTTTTTAACTGATTTTTATAATAAAATCGTTGTTTATCAGGACGACAAGGTGAGCAGGGTCCTCAGGGTCCTATGGGTCCCGTCGGACCTGCTGGTGAACCTGCCGAGAGAGGAGAACCGGGAGCTCCTGGTATTCCTGGAGAATTAGGAGCCCCTGGATCACCTGGAGAAAGAGGACAACCTGGACCTCAGGGTGCTCCTGGTTTATCCGGCCCACCTGGTCTTACTGGAATGCCTGGTCTGAAAGGCGAAAGAGGTTACGCTGGAGCTAAAGGTCAACAGGGGTCGCCTGGAAGCCCAGGTAATTAAGTTTTTTATTTAAATAAACTAATACTGAACTGAAGTTTAAGAAAATGAAAGGAACGCTTATAATATTACATTTCTTTTTGGCAAGGTGTACCCGGTGAGTCTGGGCCACGTGGTCTGCCAGGTTTAGTTGGAGCCAAAGGTGCTCGCGGTGACCATGGACCGAAAGGAGAAACAGGACATGTTGGTTTGCCTGGAAGGCCAGGAGATTTAGGACCACCGGTAAATTAATCGTTATTAATTTAGATTGATTAATCTATTAAAATAATAGAATTCAAGTAACCTGTAAGACATTTTATTTTATATAGGGCCCACAAGGAAGTACAGGCCCCGCAGGTGCCCCCGGTATACCCGGCGCTAAAGGAGCTACTGGTGACACTGGTCGCCCAGGACCCACCGGCCCTGTAGGTTTAGCTGGACCCCAGGGAGCTGAAGGACCAAAAGGTGAAAGAGGCAGCGAAGGCGAACCAGGCTTACAAGGTCCAACTGGTCCACCTGGAGCAGCTGGTGAGAGAGGACCTATTGGTTTACCTGGTGTCATTGGACCAGTTGGACCACAAGGACTGCGAGGCGCTCAGGTATGTTTTGCCTTATTATTATTATTATAAGTAAAGTCAAAATAATAATTTAGTACAATTATTATATAAAACAATTTGAATGTTTTCAAAACAATTTACTTCTAGGGTGAAAGTGGGGCCCCAGGCAAACCAGGCGCAGATGGTGCTCCTGGTACACCAGGAAATCCAGGATTACAAGGCCCACCAGGCCCAATGGGTGAACCAGGTCCAGAAGGCCGTCCCGGCAAACAAGGTCAACCGGGTATATCGGGACGACCAGGTGATAAGGGACCTACTGGACCTCCTGGCGCATCAGGACCAGCTGGCCCACCAGGATTACAAGTAAATATTATTTCATACAATTATATGTATTTTATGCTCTAGTGTTTTGAAATAATTTATTATTTTTGTCTTATTCCTAGGGACCACCAGGACCGTCAGGACCTTCTGGACCAACCGGTGAACGTGGACCCAGAGGTGAAAGTGGACCACCGGGAGTTGACGGGCCTCAGGGACCCCCTGGCAAAGTCGGACCTGCTGGCCTCGATGGCACTAAAGGAGAACGAGGAGAACCTGGTATTGATGGAGCTAAGGGACACGCTGGCTTGCCAGGTCTACCTGGAATGGTTGGTGCTCCTGGAAGAACTGGAGAACGTGGTCTACCTGGACCAATGGGACCTCCAGGAAAAGATGGAGAAGTTGGACCACGAGGTCTGTTCACAAGATTAATTTGCATTTCAAGGTATTCTTGACGTTAAATACTTTATTTTAAATCTTAATTATTTTTAAAGGCACTCCTGGCCGTGATGGAAGCCCTGGTCTGCAAGGACCACAAGGATTACCTGGTGGCCGTGGACCACAAGGAGAAGCCGGTAGACATGGAGCACCTGGACCAGCTGGTCCACCGGGTCCTCCTGGCCCACCTGGGGAGGGATTGGCTTATGATGCTGCTGCTATCGCTGCTATGTTACAACAAGGTTAGTAGCAGTGAAACAATTGTACCATCACAATAATATGTATAATGGTGGTCCTTAAAAACTTTGTTGTTTTTCCTCAGGTTCAGTGAAAGGTCCCGATCCATTAGGGGATGACCCCAACTCTCTACCTCCTCGCTTCTTCAAGGAAGACATGACACCAGCTGAACGTAAAGAAGTTGTGATGAAAGCTTATGAAAGACTGAAGGTGTCGCTCGACAAATTCCTTAAACCTGATGGCTCCAAGGAAGCACCAGCCAAAACTTGTGGCGATATTAAATACCACCACCCTGAGTTTGAAAGCGGTGAGTAAACTATCCTATCTAAAGTTGTTCTACGTCTTTTTAAACAAAGTCCTTTTGCTAAGACAGTTTTTTTATGGGTTAAGCCGGTTAACGAGCATACAGATCACCTGATGGTAAGCAATCGGCGCCGCCCATGCCAACCAAACATAATGCAAGCGTTGTTTCACGTCGGTTTTCTGTGAGGCCATGGTATCATTCAGGTCGAGCCCATCCGTGCCGCCGAAGCATGGCTCTCCCACACTTTTTTCTCTCTTCACAAAAGAGTACCACGACCCTGATGCCTATCAGGGTCGTGGTACTCTTTTGTCGCGGAGAACCTAACGGGTAACCGGGGCTCCGGCTCGAACGGGATGGTTTTTAGTCAGTAAGAGTGTGACACTCCCTCCCGCCTTACCCAAGCGGGAGCAGTCATTCGATGATTTTCCCCCCTTAAAAAAAAGGCATGGCTTTCCCACATTGTACAGGTACATGAACAATAAATAGCAGAAAATAATATTGTGGTATTATTATCTCCTTTCACAGGCCAATATTGGATCGATCCTAATGGAGGTGACATAAACGATGCTATTGTGGTGCACTGTGAGATGGAAACTGGCAGTAGCTGCGTGTTCCCGAAACCGATGCAGTCCCAGGACATCACGTACGATGGCAAGGAACACGAGCCATGGCTGAGCGAAATAGATGAAGGATTCACGGTGAGCTCTTTTACTTTTAATATCATTATGGAAATTTTTATTTTCGTGCCCTTTAGAGGACGTTTGTGACGCATATGATTATTTACGCCGATTCTGAATATTAATCTTATTTTATGCAAACCGACCATAAATATTTCTGATAAGTCAGAAATGTTTTTATTTACGCTCGGTACACATTTCGATTACTATGACTTTTTGTAGAAATCAAGAATCAAGTTCACTCATGCGACGCAAGTATTTTAGTAAATAATAACTCCATAATAACTCTAATTAAATTTCTTGTCTAGATTACCTACAAGGCCGACCACACACAACTGACGTATCTACAGCTGATGTCCACGAAAGCTGTACAGAATGTAACCTTCCACTGTCGCAACACCATCGGTTATTACGACCCCACAGCCAACAACTACCGCCGCGGCATCAAACTATTGGCTTACAACGACGCTGAGATCCTGCCCAAGGCTAACAACCGTTTGAGATATAAGGCCGTCTTGGATGAGTGCCAAGTTAGTATAATTTAAAGATTTACTGGCAACTATATGACAGCAGACGGTAGTGCTGTTTTTTGAATTTTATGCAGCTTTTCCGCTGAGGAAATATAACTACTTAAGTACTAAATGAAGTACCTACATACCTACCACCTAGTTTTCCCTAGACCTTTCGTCTTTATACTTATCCGGTTTTACATGCCGCTAACAATGACAATAAACTAATGATGTCTTTTATATTTACAGCACAAGAGCTCAAACTGGGCGCGCACTATCGTTGAGTACCAAACTGACAAGCCAGCTCGTCTCCCACTCTTGGATGTAGCTGTTCGAGACGTCGGCAGACCACAACAGATGTTCAGGGTCGAACTCGGATTAGCTTGCTTCAGCTAAACACAAAGTATGGCAGCACTCGAACTTACAATAACACTGGCAACAATTAAACGGAATTTAAAATAAGAACCTTGCGAATTTAAAAATCGAATTTTCGAATGACTTTATTATATTTTTTTAATGGCGAATGAAAGAGTTATACATATTGGGTTATTTTGTAAAATTTATTTTTTTCCATTGCATTTACTTAATGTATCATAATTTCAATATATCATTATGTAATATTTTTAAGATCGATACCAAAAATTACAATACTTACGTTTAAGATCTCAAAAACATCAACATTTATTACTTTAGTGAACTTGAATATTCACTTTATACCGAAGTATAAAATGAATTATTTGTGCAATTTAGTTAAGAACACTGCCATTATAAGCATTTACTAAATAATTTTAATAAGGCCAATTATGTACCTATCCGCATAGACTAGGAAAAATTAAACAATAGATATAAAAAAATAAGATAATTACTTTATTCATAGTTTGTAATCATTCCTATAATGTGATTCACTAAATATTATGAGAATTTATGAGATAATTAAGTACTTAAGCATAAGTAAATATAGATTAAGGTCGTCACAACATAGTTTAAAATACATAGTTAAGTTTATGAAGGTCCTCTCCGGCTGTGTATGTGTACATAATGTAAATATCCTTACTGTAAGTAAATGTCATGTGATTCCTGTATTCAAGTATTTATTAGAATTTAAGTGTTTTTTTTAAATAGAACATAAGTTTAACTTAGTTATACGCAAATCAAAGTATACCTACACGTCGATTTAAGTTAATTAAAGTTACCAATTTTATTTTACGTGACTTTTATATTTTCATAATTAAAAATTATATTCATTTTAGTTGCTGTTTAATTTATTGACCCTTCAATAGGTCTTACTTATAAAGGCCTAAGCCTTAGCTTAGGCTTGTATTCACTATTTACAATATCAAAAATCTTGTCTTTTGAACAATAAACCTCATTTTTAACATCTCAAAAAACAAGACGACATTCACAACTGTACGATTTCCAACTCAATACACAATAACAAAAATACACTTAAAAATTATTTTCCAATAACATTGTTTTCCAAAAAATGTCATTGCCAACCAATGAACTTACACCTTAACAAAAAAAAACAACAAATGTCTTTAGGTATATCAGAGATTAATACGAGATTGGTTTACGGTTACGTACACATTCGACGCTCTGATTGGCCGGATCCAATGAACCAACCAATCACAGGGCCCAACTCTCGTGCGGAAGACGGGGCGCCCTGCGGACTCTCCGTCCGCATACCGGCCCATAGTGCTGCTCGACGAGGTGGGGAAAGTCTTCGAAAGAATCATTTCGAACCGCCTCGTCGCGCACCTGACGAACATTGGGCCGGACCTGTCGGACGGCCAATTTGGCTTCCGCAGAGGGCGCTCCACGGTGGACGCCATCATGCGCGTTAGGGACCTCACGACGGGGACTGCAGTGTCCGGGGGTAGAGTCGTGGTGGCGGTGTCTTTGGACATCGCCAACGCCTTCAACTCCCTGCCCTGGAGCTGCATCTTGGAGGCACTCCGATATCATGGGGTGCCTACCTACCTCCGTCGTGTGATCGAGGCTTACCTGACGGACAGGTCCGTCAGCTACCCCGGTCACCGGGGCGAGTGGAACCGGCGAGAGATGTCACGCGGTGTTCCACAGGGTTCGGTTCTGGGGCCGCTCCTGTGGAACATCGGCTATGACTGGGTGCTGCGCACCGACCTCCCGAACGGCGTTAGCACAATATGCTACGCCGACGACACGCTGGTGCTAGCGCACGGGAGGTCGCACCAGGCGGCGGCCGATTTAATGGCGACAGCGGTTGCGACAGTCGTTGAAAAAATCCGGCAGTTGGGACTCGAGGTGGCGCTCCACAAGTCCGAGGCCATGTGTTTTCATGGCCGCGGGAACGCGCCACCTCCGGGTGGGTCCCAAATAATGGCGGGAGGGGTTACCATCGGCGTCGAGACGACGATGAAGTACCTGGGACTCGTCCTCGACAGTCGGTGGAACTTCGTGGAGCACTTCCGACGTTTGGCTCCAAAGTTGGCGAGGGCGGGGGGCGTTTAAGCGCATCCTCCCCAACCTCGGGGGGCCAAACGCCTCCTGCCGGAGGTTATACGCCGGGGTCGTGCGGTCCATGGCCCTCTACGGCGCCCCTGTTTGGGCGCCGAACTTGTTGCGGCGTCCTGCTCGGACGCTGCTCATGTCACAGAGGGTCATGGCGATCCGAATGATCCGCGGATACCGCACGATCTCTGGGGAGTCGGCGAACCTCCTTGCCGGATTACCGCCGTGGGATCTGGAGGCGAAGGTGCTCGCGCGCGTGTATAACATGCGCGCGGAGGCACGTCGCCGGGGCGAAACTCCGCTGCCGCGCCAAATAAGTGCGTGGCGGGATGAGCTCCGGCGCGATCTCATGGCGGAATGGCAGCAACGACTGTCGCAACCGGGGGCTGGGCTCGCTGCCATTGCAGCGGTAAGTCCCCTCTTTGAGGAGTGGCTTGAGAGACGCTACGGCGTCCTCACCTACCGCCTGACGCAGGTCCTCACCGGACATGGAAGTTTCGGGAGGTACCTGTGTCTGATGGGGCGGGAGGAAACGCCCGGGTGTCATCACTGCGAGGACCGCCCTGAGGACACGGTGGAACACACAGTGGGAGAATGCCCTGCGTGGGCTGAGCACCGCCGTGCCCTCAGGGAAGTGATCGGCGATGGCGACCTCTCGCGTCCGGGCCTAGTGCAGGCCATGATGCGGAGCGAGGGGGATTGGGATGCCGTCTCCTCCTTTTGCGAAGCAGTCATGCTAGCTAAGGAGGAGGCGGGACGCGTGAGGCAGCGAAGCGCTGCCTCCTCGCAACCCAGCCATCGCGAAGGACACACCGGGCGTCGGGGATCGCGAGACGATCTCCGGCCACCGTAAGCGCGGGCCTGCGGACGGCGAGCATGGGTGGCTCCCCGTCCGACCAGAAACAGACCCGAGCGTACGGCGCGTCGCGTTCCGCGCGCGCCTCAAAGAGCCATCAGACCACCACAGATGGGGCCCAATAGGGCCGATGCCGATTCGGAGTCGCGGAGAACCTAACGGGTAACCGGGGCTCCGGCTCGACGTGCAGGAGAAGGAACGGGGTGGTTTTTAGTCAGTAAGAGTCTGACACTCCCTCCCGCCTCACCCAGGCGGGAGCAGTCATTCGATGATTTTCCCCCCTTAAAAAAAAAAAAAAAAAAAAAGGGCCCAACTCGGTTTCGTTTCGATTACTTTAAACGTAAAACAATTTGTACTACGGCCTCTGATTGGCCGGCTGACATGAACCAACCAATGAAAGCGCCGAAGGCGGTCTCGATTACTTTATTCGTAAGAGAAACTCGAACTAAGGCCCTCTGACTTCATAAATATACATAACAATAAATTGTCCTTCTTCATACATTCAAAGCCTCCATGGCACCATCCATTCTTCAGTCCATCATCGAGATTTATTTCGTAGAATCACAAGAATTCTTCCTCGTGCAGGTGACAAAAGGTGGGACAGTGCAGGTACATTTAGTGCAGGTGTCCTCAACTGTCACCTCGTCCCCAACGATCAAGGTGGAGTTGCCAAACACGCAGGAGGCCGTCAGGTTCTTAATGTTAAGACCACGAACCACCTTGGTCTTTGTATTTTCTGAAAGAGATTTTGGACATTGAGGATCAGTTGTAAAGGTATATAACCATACTGCATATATCGATGAAAACAGACAAAAAAACATAACATAACATCACGCCTTTTTATCCCCGAAGGGGTAGGCAGAGGTGCACATTATGCCACTGTACAATGTAACACCCACTTTTCACTATTATGTTATGAGTCCCATGTAATAGGGGGTGAGCCTATTGCCATATACTAGGCACAATTCCAGACTCCGTGCTACTACTGAGAATTTTGAAAAAACCAAGTAATACTTTGCCCGACCCGGGAATCGAACCCCGATCGAAAGGGGTCTCCCTTGCTTGGCAGTCGTACTTGCGACCACTCGGCCAACGAGGCAGTCAATAACGATGAAAACAGAATAAAATAAAAATAAAATTCATTAGGTACCGAGAGATTGTGGGACAAGTGAAACAAAAAGCTTGAAGAAACTCAATATTATTGAAACAGTGATGTAATACCGCGATGGGAAACCACATTGCGGACATAAGATTGCGTAGCGTCTCTTACAAACAACACTGATGATACAATCAACAAACACAAGGCTTAACAAACTAGGATGCAATGCAATTACAAGCAGGCAAGACTAATAATGGCTTTTTATATGTATCTTGTAATCTTGCAAGCTTTAGGTACATTTCTCATAAAGTGACGATATATGGCTAAATAAAGATAAGCTTATATATCTTATTATTGTTGTCACTGTTTAAAATACATTGTATAAAGCTGAAGAGAATTTGTCTGTTTGTTTGAACGCGTTAATCTCCGGAACTACTGGTCCGATTTGAATAATTATTTATCGGTTAGATAGTGGATTTATGTATTAAAGACGGGCCAAAATAAAAGTACCCTTAACCGACGAACGCATGCATGAAACGATTGATGACTGTTGATGAAGCGAAAAAGATATTTAGGAATAGTAGTAATTGGCGTTCCATAGTCTCTGTCTTTATGTATAGTGGATTTATCTAGGAAGGCTATTTTTATAGCCATCACGCTACGAGCAGTAGGAGCCGAACAGAGCGAGTAAAACCACGTGGAAGTACCCAGTACTTTCTAAAGTACCGATTTCTACAGTACTGTAGGTACTGTTTTTCAATATGTACACAAATGTGTTATGCAATCACTTGATCATTTCAAGTGTTCAGATTATCTAAATAATCTAGCAACTATTTCCAACTAAGAATGAACCTGGTATCTATTCGAATCAGCTTTGTAAGGTAATGAAACTCGAGATAGCCTACTCGCAGTGTAACATGAGGAAAAGGTCTTAAGAACGAGTAAAGTTAAAACTTACGACACTCGAATCCGATAGGACATCCGCGCATGTTACCAGGGAAGATAGGAGCGCAGTTCCGAAGTAAGTCGGACTGATAGTGGATCTCTATTCCGCAGTTAATGTCCCGGCAGTTAGACGAATTGTCGGTCGCGTTGAAGTCCGCTGTACAGACACAAGTCTTACGTGTGTCCTTGGGCTGGTACGTCTCACCCTCGCGGTATGTCTTGCCATCTACTTCGCAGGTATTTAGCTGAGCTATTGCGTCTTTACCTGGAATTAAAAAAAAATGAAATTAATGTTACCTAATAGGATTTTCCTTCGTTGATCGAAAAGTTGTAACTAAATCGATATTGCCAAGAAATATCTGTCTCGTAGGGAATAACAGGTTCGTCTTATATTAAGGTTAATAAGCCTAAAAATAACAGGGTCCTATCACACGATAATGATATTTACTTAAGTAAAACTAACTGCGAAAATTCAACCACACCACGATGTTGAAGTGAGCATATTTGGCAACTATATTAGGAACTTATTTTCAAATTCGACGTCATAAATAACTTTGGCAAAATTCCACAAATTCACGGACTTCCTAAACCGTCTCCTTCAAACAAACAGAATCACATTCATCTTTATGTTTTTAAATAAATAAATAAATATTTATGTAAACAAAGGAGCATTGAAGCCACGACCTAAAGTCAAGGTAACCGGCCTGCACCTTAGAAAAATGATAATGAATTTTGTTGCGTTACAATTTTGCAATAGCATAACCACAGAAATATTAAAAAAGAGCATAACACACCCAGTATTTTGCGAAGAAGTAATTACGCCCCTTTTGAACTTATTAATCTTGTTATATTATTTAGGGTTTCCAAACTCAGTGACATTTTTGGAAATTAGAAAACCCAATAAGTAGGTTAGGTTTTGTCCATTCTGTAGATGGATTATGGATTAGCCAATCCCGTTATTCATATGTCTAACTCTAATGTAATAAGTTTAATTGTCTTAATTTTAAATCTTTTCTTTTTGCACTTACATATCATTACATTTTCCAGTACCTATATTAAGAAAACGAAAAGGATATTCTCGCATCGGTCATGTTTTATTACTTTTAGTTGACTAATTACGTGTTATGACTTTTAAAAGCTCAGTAATACGTGGAAGTGAGCATAATGGTAGCACACAATGGATCGTTAATTGTAATCCTGCTATTGCGCCGATCTATAACATTGCCTATATGGCAGCCCCATTGTTTCTTACTCTTTGGACCTCTATTAAATAGTGTGTCACCTAAGAATAGACCTGATTAGCAAGCAATAGATTTGTTTTGACAGAACCAGTGCATAGATTATGTTTATTAGCTCCTAATTATTTTGTGATGAACTCATATGTTCGGAAGTTACTGTTATGAAGGTTATGAAGGTGTACCAAGGTTGTGAAGGTGTATAATTTCGTTGATGTGTCATTTGTTTGTTGTGCCTTATAAGTGAATGTAAGTTTGTATTGTCTGCGTTTTCCTACACTCATGTACATATACACAATTATTTTTTAATTTAACGAGAAGTCTTTGAATTTAAAAGGAGGTCTTTAAACTTTAATATTTTCCAAAAATATTGAGAGTTTAATAAACCATTGGGTAGCTTTATGCGCCGACGTCTGCAAAACAGAGATAGAATCTCCTTATTCATTAACAATATTGCTATTCGAATGTCTATTAAAAGTTAAGCCAATGAAACAAGTCCACGCAACGCTTACCACAAACAGTGCCAGTACTGCAACAGGAGTCTACTTCATAAGTGTAGATGCATTGCTGCTGCATGTCATTGTCGAAGGTCTCCACACAGTCAACAGCCGCGCAGCTGAACTGTGGCTCCCCGGAGAACACGCTGCAGCTGCAGGCTTGCGAGCATGGATTGCTGATTAGTGGCTGAGGTATCGGGGATTTGTCAGCATACGCTACGCCCCTGGAATTGATAATTAAGTGCTTTAGATAGGAATCCTAGATACACAAGTCTAGAGAAGACTGTTAAGTAGGTGTTTTAAAGATCTTTAAGTAGATAAGTAATGCCCGAATACTTAAACGCTGCTCAATTTGAAATCGCGCTTAAGTGTAGTTCTACACTACAAATTCTTTGTAAAGATATTTATTTTTTTGAGTGCGGAAATTCGTCGAATGACTTCTCCCGCCCGGGTGAGGCGAGAGGGAGTATCAGGCTCTGACTGACTAAAAACCACCCCGTTCCTACTCCTGCACTTCGAGTCGGAGCCCCGGCAACCCGTTAAGTCCTCCGCGTTTCCGTATCGGCATCAGCTCTATTGGGCCCCATCCGTGGTGGTCTGATGGCTAAAGTAGCACAATATTTAAATACAACTTAAATTTGAGTAGCTTTTCAGTATTCTGGCGTATGTCTCACAAAGGAAATTCCCCACAAAGTCGGGTTCGAGTTTTGAGGAAACTATTGTTTGTTTCACAAACTATTTCATATACAATAATAAATGAAGATAGATGGTTTAACAGTTACCTATTACATTTTTTTAGGCATTCCAAAAAGAATTCTAACTCAGTTTATTTGTTAGTATAATAGTCTGGACTGCATTCTATTTTGACCACACCAGCATAAATTAGAATAATAATATTTGAATACCGAATACATTTCCGTAGAAAATAAGTGAAATAACTTTTTTGTCAATGTTGAATTGTATGTTTCATGAATCAGTGTCGCTAATAAAAAGTGAGGTGATAACGTAAAATCTGTGTTAAAAGCATAACGATGTTATTTTGTATCGTTATGTACCACAGAACATATATTGTGGAGGATTTTACAATCATTTTAACTAGGATATGAGTCACAGAGGATACAGTATATTTTATAATTAGGCAAGTATATTCTTTAGGACGAAATATTTCCGGAATGTATACCTAAAATGTAGGAAACAGATGGTAGATATAAAATAAAAAGATAGGTACGTCTAATGATAAAACTCTAACCGTCTTTGTTTTTGTTAATTAAGTAACAATAAAATATTAAAAATATAGTTATGTATTCAGCAAGGTAGAGTCCGTGGTACAGTCACATAGATCACTGCTAGGACAATTAACTGCACTTCAACCTAGGTATACTAACACTTATCTACAGTTTCATTGTGTCAATCAAATCAAATCAAATCATCTCATCATGGGACTAATTGGGAAAAATTTAACTGATTGCTAGAATAATTAATCGCCTAGCCTTCCACGTAGATAACTGTGTCAAAAATGATTGATTTGCATTCTTGTAACGAACACTATAATTAAATCAGTTGTAGGATGTTTACATAATAATGTTTATTCATTATTTCTACATAGATAAGCCCTTTTTACTCGCAACAATGCGGATGGTAGGATTAGCAAAACGGTTTCGTGTAAAAAGATTGCATCTATCATTCTCACATGTCCAGATTCAGACTTGGATATCAAAGTAGCCATATTATATACCTACTTCTTAGTTCTAATTACTGCTGAGTTCATTAAGTAACACGATTAACATAACGCAAAAAATATGAAGGTAATGAAAACTTATGTTGAACTAGCTACTCCCGCGCGGTTTCACACGCTCTGCTCAGGTCCTATTGGTCGTAGCTTGATGTTTTATAGCCTATAGCCATCCTCGATATATGCGCTATCCAACACAAAAATAATTATTCAAATCAGACCTGTAGTTATGGAGATTAGCGCGTTCAACAAACAAACAAACAAACTCTTCCGCTTTATATAATAGTAGTAAAGTAGTATAAGAAGTATAAGAGGAAAATATAAAAATTATGGCGTTAAAAAAATACTTAGGCCTTCCAAGTAAGTACTTCCAAAGGAAATGTTATCAAAATACACACGTATGTCAGGACAGCCAGCTATCCTTCGTTTACCATAATAAGCAATAAATGATTTCCTATATAATTTATATCAGCGTAACTAAATTGTCACTAGAGCAAGAGCAAGGTCGCGGTATTTCCCGGCGACGCGCGACTCTGCGCAGGCGCAACCGGCGACCATCGTGCGAGAGGTCGACACCTTTTTGTACATATTCACTTCTGGGTACTTCTCCGAACTCCTCGAGGTCAGTTTTTGAGTAAATCCTTATTTGCTCTTTTATTATACAGTATTGTTGGTATTTTTTGATCACTTAAGGCTTTTTGCAACTATGAGTCAGGTGCTTCAATGTTAAATTGTCAGCAAGGACTTTCAGCTTTTTATGAACCAAAAAAAATTGTAGCTTGTAAACAATTCTGAGCAGGACATAACAGATGATGATGAGATAAAAACGATCCCTTTATACTCTTCTATAAGTAAGTTCCAAAGTACAATGAATGTAGTTGGTAGCTTAATATTTAGTGCAATAGCCGAGTGGTTGCAAGTGCGACTGCCGGGCAAGGGGTCTCGGGTTCGATTCCCGGGTCGGACCAAATATTATTGGGTTTCTTAAAAATCTCAGTAGTAGCACGGAGTCTGGAAATGGGCTCACCCCTATTATATGGGACTCATAACATAAATAGTGAAAAGTGGGTGTTACGTATAGTGGCATTAAGTGCCTTAATGTGCACCTCTGCCTACCCCTTTGGGGATAAAAGGCATGATGTAATGTTGTGTATATCGTTTACTGCCTTAAAAATAATGGTTGGTACTCACTTGTAATAACATTTAGTGGGATCAGGATGCAAGTCTGGGCAGGTGAAGGACTCAGGACAGAGGCCACCATCAGCTCGCTCCACAGGCGTGCATCCCAACTCTGTGTAGAAGCTGGCCATGTCACATTCGCCCGCCATGTCCGTAGACACTACTCCTAGCACTGGAAATCAAAACAGAAGTATTATAATAAATGCGATAATTTTGTTAGTCTGTTTCCATTTCTGCCTTCTTAGTCCATACTAAGAAGGCAGAAGCTACAGATTATCATCTCTCTTTGACTGCACGGTTGGTGCGGTGGCTGGGCAACCGGCGGCCGTGCAACGTGTCGCGGGCTGCATTCCCGCACGGAACAACACTTTGTGTGATCCACAAATTGTTATTTCGGGTCTGGGTGTCATTTTATATGTGAACTTGTATGTTTGTAAACGCACCCACGACACAGAAGAAAATTAATGTGGGGCAATGTTTAAAAAAAAATCTATTATAACCTATACTTCCATAGTTTTGTCTACATTCATGTTTCTTGTATCCAAAATAAAACAACTGCGGTTTTGGTCTTTCGTTATAACAGTAGTTCCTTGGGTCTCCAGTCCCTAGTCAAGTTATCACGTCGAAGTAAGCCACAAAGTAATTAAAGTAGTACTTACAGAAATCTAGGTCTACAACTTTGCCTATAATTTAGTCCTATGAAATTTGATAGGGATGCTGATGATTGTGTATTGGCGGTATTTGAACTATATTAAAATAGCAATTTAAACTTAATTGGATTAAAGATTAAAATAAGAATAGTAGGACAAATTGCTTTATTTTACTACAAAATTCTCTTTAACACAGAATCTTAATTATTTTTAAGTGTGGGGGCGATACCACGGCCTTATAGAAAAGATTCACGGCATACCTGGTGAATAGTGGATTACATCTTATTAAACTATCGACAACTACAAACCACGGAGCTGTCAGACCTAAAAATACTTTAATCCATAAAAAATTAAGACAGAGATTAAATGTAATTAATAATTCAACCGCAAATTAAGAGAGTGTATGATAAACATTGTGATTGATGTTCGCAAACTATATGCAATTGGTACTGATGTGGTTAATGTGGTAAGTCTTAATTGTGTTTTGGCCTAATCCAAAACACAAATAAGCTTTTTGAATAATTTAAAATCATTATCAATAGCCCGAAGACGTCCACTGCTGGCCAAAGAATCAAGGGAAAAATATCCTATCGCTTAGTATTGTACGAGGGGTAACGGGCTATTTGGTTTAAGCGACATTTTGGGCGATATTGAGTTATATATATATTCGGAATCAGCGAATTTTTCTCCGTCGAATGATGCCGGTTTCATTAAAATCGGAGCACTTTTTTGGCGTTTCAAACAATTCTATTTTCATGTTGTTTCCAAAGTGGCAGTGTATTAAACGACATGGATTTCGCATTTTTTATTAAATTATGTACTTGAACCATACCATCATATTAATAACCGAGACATAAACCAGTTACCCTATCTCTAATTATTAAGTCAACATGAGTTAAAGCCTTTTTCTTGTTTCTAATTTTTATTAACAAGTAACTTGAATCATTTTGACTTCCCACTAATCACACGGTGTGATGTCGCTTAAAACATTTGTCCGTCATCCAAATGCGTCATGGTACGTCTCTTAAACATTTCTAGCTGCCTCTATTTTCTACGCAGGGTGCTACTTAAACCAAATAGTTGTTTTCGTTTAGATATTTTGTTTAGTCATAAACCATTTAACCCTCATTTTTTTTTAAATGCATGTCGTTTTATACAGACGATAACATTGATAATTAATATTGAAACATTTTTCCAGTATTCATAGAAATACGAGTCGGTCTTTCAATCACTAAGTTTTAATATGGTACATTTCAATCATGTCATATGATACCATATTTATTTCATCGCCCTGGTGTTAAAAATCGTTATCATCCAACTGGACTATCGTGCGCTGGCGCTTCAGTAACTCCAGAGTGCGCCGAAGACATACGGGACGCGCGCACACCGCCAGTGTTTACGTAAAACGCTCATCGAAATTGAATCCTAAGTACTTTAATTTCAAGATGAACTTTGGCAACAATGACAATTTAAGGGCTATTGTGGAGGTTGATGACATACAATCTACGGCTGATTTAGCAACAGCTTTCGGCGTTAGCGTCAAAACAATATTGGTACATTTGCGTCAAATTGGCAAGGTAAAAAAGCTTGATAAGTGGGTGTCCCACAAACTAAATGATCAACAGAGCTAAGTATGCATCGAGCAGTGCGAGGGGGACTGGGATGCCGTCTCCTCCTTTTGCGAAGCAGTTATGCTAGCTAAGGAGGAGGCGGGACGCGTGAGGCAGCGAAGCGCTGGCTCCTCGCAACCCAGCCATCGCGAAGGACACACCTGGCGTCGGGGATCGCGGGACGATCTCCAGTTACCGTAAGCGCGGGCCTGCGGACGGTGAGCATGGGTGGCTCCACGTCCGACCAGAAACAGACCCGAGCGTACGGCGCGTCGCATTCCGCGCGCGCCTCAAAGAGCCATCAGACCACCACAGATGGGGCCCAACAGGGTCGATGCCGATTCGGAGTTGCGGAGAACCTAACGGGTAACCGGGGCTCCGACTCGACGTGCAGGAGAAGAAACGAGGTGATTTTTTGTCAGTAAGAGTCTGACACTCTTTCCCGCCACACCCAGGCGGGAGCAGTCATTCGATGATTTTCCACCGTTAAAAAAATGCATCGAGTAGTGCCTTGCACTGCACTGCTCAATATACACACAAATGAAAGAATTTTGATTTGCATTGTCACCGATGAAAAATGAAATCTGTGTGATAACCACACGCGTTTAGCATGTTGGTTGAATCCTAGTTCAGCACCTAAACAATGCCCTAAACGAAAACTTACCCCTAGAAAAGTGATGGTCACTGATGGTCTAGCGCTCGCGCTATTCTGATTCATCACAAATTCTTACCAAACGGAGTGAGCATTACTACGGATGTGTAGTGTAAAGAACTGAACACAATGATGGAGAAGCTGACACATCTCCAACCAGCACTGGTCAATCGCTAATCTCCATTGCTCCTGCATTACAACGCGCGACCTAAAGCTGCACAAGAGACGGCCTCCACGTTACAAGAACTGGGGTTGTGAAGCTCTCCGACATCCACCTTACTCACCAGTCACCAGACTACTTCTTTTTCCAGAATTTGGATAACTTCTTGGCGGGAAAAAATTTAATAACCGAGAGGCAGTACAAAATGCATTTGAAGAATTTGTTGCTACCCGTCCAGCTGATTGAAGAAGGGCATCAATAAACTGCCACTGCGTTGGCAACGATGCATTGATTGCATGGGTGATTACGTTGATTATACAAATAAAAAATACATGAAAAAATCGTTTAAATTTTTTCATACAAAACGGCAATTTCAGTAAATGACCCATTAATTTAATTGATTTTGCTGAAATATAATCGATATTCCTATTGAAACTGTTATTATTACTCTAAATAAATACTTTGATATTGTGTTGTGTTTATTTATTCAATGTAAGCATCTGAGATTTTCGGTGATTGCGATATATCCAGGTTGTTTTATCAGCCATTAATCGCCTTAGATGTAAATAAACATAAACATTAAACGTTATAATTTCAATGTTATATGTCACATAAGTAAATTAGCCTGTCACTCATTTTAGTCTGAATTGGTAGTTAAGATAAATAGCTTGCTTCTATTAATTTTGGGTTTCGTCACTTCATATTTTTTAGCTGACTCTATAAATAGAGTGCATTGTCGCTTAATTTTTTTCCCTTGTAGCCAATTGTAGTTATGAAGTCACTTAAATCGTTTTTCCTGACTCTAAAAAAAGGCAGATTGTATTAAGCGACATTTATCTTTGTAATTAAAGGTCCGCTTTATTTAGAATTAGCATCAGCAACTAGATAATTTAATTTAAATTTCAATGCAATTTACCCCGTTCAAATAACTGCAGAAATGTTTTTGTTACGAATTTTTTTTCGAAATTTCAAACTTTAAAAGGCTCTCCTGTAAAGTTGCAAAAATGTCGCTTAAACCAAATAGCCCGTTACCCCTCGGTATAATTAGTCATTTTAAAATATGTATCCTGTATGTATGTGTGTATGTCACATATTAACTAGTTAGCCTCCACCGTGACCGGAGTTTGTGAAAGATTTGACTTATTTGCCTTCAACCGTTTTCTATTGGCTGTTAAAATCGGATACGCGGGCATAGTGAAACTATCACACTAACCAACATAAAAAGGCAGTTATTAGAGAAACCACATAACATAACATCACGCCTTTTATCCCCGAAGAGGTAGGCAGAGGTAGTACACATTTCAGCACTTAATGTGACTGTACAATGTAACACCCACTTTATGTTATGAGTCCCATGTAATAGGGGGTGAGCCTATTAATTGCCGGGCACAATTTCAGACTCCGTTCCACTACTGAGATTATTTAAAAAAAACAGTAATACTTTACTCGACTCAGGGAATCGAACCCGAGACCTCTTGCCTTGCAGTCGCATTTGCGACTATCCGGCCAACAAGGCAGTCAATAGAGAAAGAAACCCTTTTTATAATAATAGGACCAGAAGTTGAACTTTTAAAAACCTTGAAGCTGTGGTAAAGGCATACGTGCCTAATAAGTACTTAGATACAGACTACAGGTACCTTGTAATTTAAATGCACAAGGAAGTAAACAATAGTAAAAGTAAAATAAAAACAAAACTTACTGAGCATCACAAAACCAATTACGGCCTTCATGATCGATTAGGTTTACAGACAACAGAACTCAATTACTTAGTAACTGCACTTTTTGTTTACAATTTATTCCGCGACTAAATGTTTGGTAAACAAGAGACGTGCGGCTTCGTCAACGGCCGGTGACGGAATGAACCGCAGCATGCAAATAGTCCCTGCGTACGCGCATATTGTTTGTCCTATTACTATGATTCACTGCATCTATTAATTCATGCGATTATGGATATCATAGTGTGGATAGTTGATACTGGATCACCTTGCGATATGATCTGAGAGTAAAGTATAAAGTTTTTTTTTTAATATCTACATGTTTATAATTCTATTCTAATTTATATTAAAACTTTCGTGATACATACTAAATTAATTATTGTGTTTTCGGCTTACCCACGTAAATGGTTGACGAAGAACTCGACTAGATTCAAGCCTTGCTAGAGGACCGCAGCAGACTCGAGCGGCCAGCGCGACAGTCGCTCTGATGCGGGTTGCGGCATGCTGATCATGAATATGAGTCTCTAGCATGGCTTGAAACTAGTCGAGTTCCTTGTCAAACAGTTACGTGAGTAAGCCGAAAACATAATAATTAATATATCCTAATTGTTTGTTGAACATGGCTTTGAATTCGCGCAGAAGAAGTAGTTTCAGACAAGGAAGAAGTGGGGAAAATCATCGAATGACTTCTCCCACCTGGGTGAGGCGGGAGGGAGTGTCAGTCGGAAGGGGTCTTTTTTTTAAGGGGGGAAAATCATCGAATCACTGCTCCCGCCTGGGTGAGGCGGGAGGGAGTGTCAGACTCTTACTGACTAAAAACCACCCCGTTCCTTCTCCTGCACGTCGAGCCGGAGCCCCGGTTACCCGTTAGGTTCTCCGCGACAGTCAGAAGGGGTCTAGAGGCTTTATCTAGTCGGATTATGCATTTTCTGACAGCTTTTACATTTTAAGCATTGCCCCCAATATGCAGCAGCACTATCAACAACCTGTAGCAGTAATTAAACAGTAAGAAGCAACATAACATTGCAGTAGTAGAACTGATGAAGCAACATAAATCTAAGTATTACCTCTATTGTCGGTTATCTTTCGAAATGAATGTCAAATCCCTTAAAAGACTATAAAATCATACATACGGGTGTTTTCACTTTTTAATCAACCGCACTCAGTTTTTGTAACCTTGATTTAAAAGATATTATTTGTGTCAATAGCGTTATCGGAAAAAACCAATGCCTCTATTGTTGTATAGTGTGACTTGGTATGACATAATGACATTCCGTTTATCGTGAAATGAGTAATGTACAGTTTTAAATGGTAATTCGTGTTCTAGATATTTTTTGGTATAGAGGTCGCTGGTGTAACAAGCTCAAATTAAAGGTTCAGTTACGTTTCGAGAATTGCAATGTTATTTACGAGGAATCCTCCTTCCTGGATTCGATGGTACAATTAGATTGTTTCATACAACTTTTTCAGCGTTTGTGTACCTGACTACCTACTTACGGCGGCAAGTAATTAGTTAGACGCCATTATTGTCACACGCATCAGACCATTATTTTGTTACTTTTTTGTATTTTAAATGTTATATTTTTGTAGTTTGGCAGTACTCCTTCGAATAAATCTTTGTGTTTATTTTTTTAGTTTAATGCGTATTAGTATTAGTTAATAATGCTAGCTTTGATGATTTTAAAAAAATACTGCTATACGTTCTCAATCCAGGGTTTCATATATAGGAAATATAGAGTTCTCGATATACCACGAGAGGTAATTTTGCCTTGCCATCTCATGAAATGCAAAGCCTCATAAAGTTTTTGTCTTCTAGATCTTATTAAACTTATAACAGTTATAAGCTAGCGTGTCGTAGACCTCGTAATTGTGTAACACCAATAATGTTAACTTGCGTGTTTTATGTTAATAAATACTCAATTTCAATTATTCAGTTTTACGACATACCTAAAGGATCGCTCACGCATTACGAATTCTTAACAGTAACTAGTCAATTATTTTTTAGCATATCTTGACAGTTGATGTTTAACCCTTTGAGTACCGTCATTATAGACGCAATTAAAGAACAATAGGTTGCGGTCACCGGTGTCCTCGCGGTGTTTGACAGTTTAACTCGTCGAGTACCGTATTTATAGACACAATTAAAGAACAATAGGTTGCGGTCACCGGTGTCCTCGCGGTGTTTGACAGTTTAATTTATAATACTTCCTTTCTTTCTTTCTTTCTTGTAAGACCTGTAAGTTTTTTGCCAAAGCCGTTAACAAATGATACCTAAATATTTTAATTAAATCACTTTGAGCTTTCACACCATTTTGAGCTTTGATTCCAACTAATTTGGTTAGGATTTTGCTATTTAACGTGGAATTACTTATATTTGCACCAACATATCTACCTATAGAGATATCCTAGTTTATCAATGAAATTGACCTAATTATGGGCAGATAATACCTTATTGTGTAGCCATGAAGCCATGTACTAATCGTACGATGATCATACAAGTACCCACAATCACTGATATAATAATAACTATATTCTATCTGCCTATTGTGATAATACTGTTATCAACGTTCATATGTATTTCAATTTACCATACTTATATACTTATTGTGGCGTGTAATTATCTTATAATGTACAAGTATTATGTGATTAATATCTATTACAGCCACACCTACTAACCCTTGTTTGTTAAAATAGTTATTCAAGTTCATTTTAATATGAACAGAGGTTCAAGTGCGTAGTTTTTTGTTTTTAAAACCTTCTATATTATATTGGCTTTTGATTTGTCTTCTATATTATAGTGATGCTTGTCATTCCCTTTGGGAATAATAAGCAGAGCTAATAGCAAAGTCAAAGAGTAGCGTTGGACTATTGCCGTGCAATATTTAATTAAATCTTATTAGAGCCAGCAAACAGTCTATTTATAAATGCACCAACTAACAAGCTATCTACGTTTTATGTAGGTAGTAAAGTAGCATCAAGGCCCTAAACAGACGAACCGCATTTCAACTGTAATTCAACTGCGAATCGCAGTTGACACGACTGCAATAGAACAGCTATCGGACTGCTCGTTCGGTTTGCAACAGTTTGGTCATGACTGCAATCAGACTGCACGTTTGGTTTGCAGTTCAATTGCAGTCGTGACATGACTGTATTCATACTGTATCCGCACTGCAATTTGCGGTTAAGTTGAAGTTGAAATGCGATCCGTCTAGAGCCTAAAGGATATGATGGAGTAAAAATAAGACTACAATTTTTACTATATAAAGTGTATAATACTTACGTACTTTCGTAAATGGCTAATTAATAACGATGTTTTATATACAAGACACAAGTATACCATTCTATTATGTATTTAGTAATTATAATTTACCTACTCGATAAAAATAATAATGCAGATTGGAAATGTAATAAAAGTAGGTTTAATCTAAAAGGTTGTAGTTACAAATACAGCCTTTTCTGTCTTGTATTTCTTGTCATAAATGTTTATTTGTTGTATTTTATAGTTACAGTAATAAATAGTGGTGTTCTTATTCACATGAGTACAAGGACTTCGTATTCTGCTGAGTTCCTTTCTTCGCCATCGAAGGGATAGTAGCATGTGCCGTGGCTTGGCTGGATCTAGAAAGAAAATAGACACTCATAAATGATGATTATTCTAAAGTCAACCAAAGTTACCTAAATGTATATTATGTTCTCTTTTCGCCAATTACGTTATAAGACCCTGTGTACCACAGGGCTTACAATACCAAACTTCAGCTTTTACTGAGAATTTCGAAAGCCAAAAATACGAAACGCGGTGTATCAAAGTTGACATAGCCCGAGGTTAACAAGCAAAACCTAATTGTTTCACTCCTGTAGACGGAGTCAAGCTGGACATATGCTCTAGAGTGGGGACCGCGAATAGACAAACGTACATATATAATTTCCATACTTTAAGTCCTTTAAAGTGGAGCGGCGATATTCTCTAGCAGGTGCTAGAGAATATCGCGTATGGACTGTTGACCATAAAAATAGGTGTGGACGGAAACGATCTGGTCATTCTGGGTTCCCTTACCTTGCCAGGCGTAGTGCATCCATCGTGTGTAACTCTGCCGAAGTACAGCTTCTCGCCGTCAGCAGTGACTCCTGCGGCTACTGCGCCAGGGGGAACCTCACCACCAGTCGAGAACTGCCAGGAGAACATCGCGGGGACCAGCACCTGTAACCAGGGCAATTATGAGTTAGAACTATCTTCATACCAAATTAACCATTAAAGTTATTTCGTGTTCCACTAATTCAGTATTTTACCTCAAACTGGTCTTTGACGATTTCCTCGCCACCCCAGCAAACGTAGCAAGCGTTCTTGTTGGGGATGACCTTTGCGGGAAGGATGTCACCCTCATGTGGGGCTCTGCCGGCGTAGATCTCGTCACCATCCACATCAGTACCCACGCGCAGAGCGCCGGGAGGGATGGAGCGCTGGCTCAAGCATGCTGGGACCCAACGGTATGTACCTGAAGTGAACACAGGGAAAAAGTTAGTTTAATTTCTTCCCACACCGATTTTAACGAACATTTATGACTTTTATGGTAGACACAAATATTTTTTATTACAACAAAGACAAACACAAAAGAAATACATCGATAAACTATTAATAAAACAAGTGATGATAGAAAAAATAAAGACAAAGATAACAAATGAGAGTTAGTTTAAACCAAATAGGTACTCAATGGAAAATATTTCAAAGAAACACAAAGTCGAAGATGAAGTTCATGATTTTCCACATTAAAACAACACAGAAGCTACGGCCAAAACTCTATATGGATGAGGAATTGAAATTATTTGGAATAAAACTAACAAGCTAATTAGTACAGAGACATGGTGAGACGTAAGTCTGGATTGGACAGTATGGACAGTCACCATAAAGAGGATTGGCCTACACGTGGCGAACGATACAATCAAATAATTACTCAGAGTTAACACCTTCAGTAAATGCCTACATCATGTTATGTATGAGAAAGTATTAGATTTATAAACTCGAGTCACATATATCGATACAGATACAGGTAATAATATTCTACACTGTTCATTTTGCACCAAGGCATTGCGATATTATTTTATCAACCGTTTTATCAGGAGGACAAATGTGCCCCGGATTAGATTAACGATTATTGATGCGATGCTGTTGTCTAAGAATTATGTGAGTTGATTAAAAATATCGTATTGATTTGAATGATTTCTATGAAAAAATTGATTCAGGAATTAATCTTGTTAATTGTTAATTAATGTGAATGATAATGGTTCTAAGTATAAAGATTCCTAGTATCTGAGAAGGTGCTATCTCTGGGAACCCAATCCAGACTTACTCCACGGCAACTCGACAGTTTCCCCGGGCAATTCCGGCTCTGCGTTATCGACCACAGTGACTTCGCCGCCATCAGGAGGGGGTGGTACTTCTCCTCCGGGGTAGGGATAGAAGTAGGCAGGGTGCATCGGGTAGAAGATTACTCCGGCTGCCCCGGGGGGGTACATATGTGGGGGGTGGCCGGGAGGGGGAGGGTAACCGTGTGGCGGTGGTGGCGGTGCACCCCAACCATAATAACGCCGATCTGCACAATGACGCTTTCATACATTTTACAGTAAATACACAGGTACAAAGATATTCTTCAGGAAAAATGTAAAGTTTATCTACTTCTTTAGTATTGTGTACATCACATATAATAGTAACGGAGTAAAGTATGATTAATAAATAATATTTTTTCTATACGTGGCAGATAATTATGATACTAGTATGATTCATTGCAATTCTATGCCATTTTGATAAACATTAAACACACCGGTCGATAAACGGACAGATTAATTTTTAGTGCTATAAAAGTGTATTTTTCATGCACGAGCCAAACTATTGATAAAATACTATTTGTACCTAAGACTAAGTTTGTTCTTTTGATTTCGTAATCGGTATTGATAACCTCTATAATATTTTCATTTTCTACACCTGTACACACATTAATGTACTATGGATGTTTAGTATGTGACTACCTATCCCATATATCTAATTATTAATACATATTATTAATACATATAGTAATTCATTGTTTTATAAATGCTTGATACATATAAATTCAATAGCTACCTATTTTTCAAATACCTAAATCACTTTATCATTTCAGGAAAATATTTAAATCGTTGCTACTATTTTATTTTTCTGTAGAATTGTTGTTCAAATTGATACCGTCCACGGCTTAGTCATATTACCTATAATGTTCGTGTTTATTTTAAATTTTATTGTTTATCGATGAATAACACCTCGGTCTCTGATTAGATACAGGTGTTGTATAAGCGCTCGAAATATCCTGTACATTTGTATTTATCATTTCTAAAGTAATCATTAGGTTAATCATCTTAGTTGGAATTTTATGTGTAATTTATCGAACGATAATGTTTTTTCCTGTTCACAAATTACTTATAGAATTAGCTAATTATAACATCTTTTGTATTGATATCAAAGTTGATGCGTTTAAATAGTTTTTAGATGGAGATAAAATGAGGTAGGCCCATTATGATACCTTGGGGCATCCCTAGTGATATTGAACAGTCCTGTACATTCGTACAAATTTCTTAATTAATTTAATTATAATTTAATTTAATAAAAAGCTTAAATACATAAGCTTTAAGAAAATTAGTATTGGACTTAACAGTAGGTAATAAAAACAGTTCATGCATTAGGTACACTATACGAGAACATTATTACACAGCTTATCGAGTTGGTAATTAATTTAATATGAAAAAAAAGTAAATAAAAAAGATCTTTTTTAAATGGACGGGTTTCCTCGTAGTTTTACATGAAGTGTAGAAACTATATTGTTAGGTTAGGTTTCATCATGTTATTCACAAAGTAAAACCGATATCAACTTACTTCGATTGTAAAGTAAGTAGATGCCTATATCTTTTTACTATCACAAAAGGTGTGTTCTGCTAGATAGTAATCGTTAAGTATTATTATCAAGGAAATTCTGATTTAATAATTGAACTGAAGTATTAATACGCTTCTCCGTCTACATTGGTATCTTTAGTTGCATTGTGTGAACTGAAAACAAATGTAACTGCGAGAGAAACATTTACATGACAAAAGAGCCAGCGCAAACCAAATAAAGAGTGTCTACAGCTAGAACCTGCTTTATAAAGTTGTGATTGTTTGGTGGAGATAATGTATTTTCCAACAATATGTTCAGTTAAAATGCACTGGAAACTGTTTCAAAAATATTGCCATTTGTAGCGCCTGTTTTTATCTCTGCCTGTCCAAATTAGAACGTTATCGAATTGTTACGAATTATACAAATTGTTTTATAACTGTATACGTGTTTACTTATAATTGGGTGCCTACAAAAAAACAACTTGAATATCAATTAATTTCTCCATAATTAGTTCGCACCAAATTAAAATAATTATGTTGCATGCTTAACGAAATTACAGACACTGACATCAATAATGCCTAGTATTAGTAAAAGCACCATAAAAATGTATATCACGCAAAATTGAGAAAAACGATCATCAAATATATATTCAGAGTACATTCTAGTAACTATTGTTATCACATATCTTATCACACTTTATCTTAAAAACTCACCTGCCATGTTTTCAGTGCTCTCGCTCGCAAGTGACTGCTTCACCGCTGCGACTTGCTGTTATTTTATTGTAAACAAATGTACGGTAATCTATAGATAACGAAGCATCGTTTGTGGTTTGATAATTAAGTACTTCAGTTAATTAGGAGAAGCAAGTGTTATTGCACTTTTAAGTATTATTCAATGTTGCAACACTGAAGTGTATAAGAAGTGCATCTCAATCGGAAACGCGCAATATTTTTCTGCAATAAGTATTGTAAATATCATACATTTCTTTTTACGGCTACACAATTAGAAAAATATGGTTCGTTTAGAACCCAAAGGCATAATGTTTAGCTCCTTAATGACGCAGTTTCCTATTATACAGACAAAGTAAGTAATATTTCAAAGGGTTCATTACACTTAATAACCTAATTAAGGTCACGAAATGAGTGAACTAAAACTATGTATGAAAATGTGGGAACTGCTTTTGTAAAATGCCTACAGCCTAGGTAAGCAGTAGAATTTAGCGTGAAGGAATTGGGAGCTAATGGGAGATGAAGCGGTTTGCTTCAAGCCTTCTTGTGCGAACTACTAAGGAGTGCAATTCTTTGCAAGAGCCTGTGTTTCCTGAAGGATATATATCCTTGGTGTCTTGGTGTCTTAAGGTTGTAACCCAGTAAAAAGGCTGCTTATAGGTAGACGTGCCCCATCTTAGTCCGCATCATCGTTTACCACCAGGCGAGATAGTAACCAAAGTCGACTCATATGTAGGATTCACCAGTAGCATGTCAATGCTACGACAACGACCCTCAGTTATGTAAATATGATCACGTAATTGGCTGGATTAGTTATTGGCTGGTGTGTGCACTACCGCTCTGTGTGCCGGTCGGTAATCGAATGACTATTTATTATCTACGTAATATGACAGATGTCACTAGAGGCGATAGTATTGTAGAATATACTAACACCTACCTACATACGCTACAGCATATAAATATAATTTTTTTTAAGGGGGAAAATCATCGAATGACTGCTCCCGCCTGGGTGAGGCGGGAGGGAGTGTCAGACTCTTACTGACTAAAAACCACCCCGTTCCTTCTCCTGCACGTCGAGCCGGAGCCCCGGTCACCCGTTAGGTTCTCCGCGACTCAGCATATAAATATAAAACTATAACAAATACCTTTAATTACTAAGGTGATGAACATGATGCTATGCTTAGGTAGCCTATGTCGCATTTCATCATAAGTCGTCAGCTACTTATCAGGTGAGGTGTGACAGTGTGACGCACATAAACGTCATCATTTCGCCGAGTAAAGGGTCTTATGATGACGAATCTATATACATATATATAAAAATTAAACCCGTTTCCCATTGTCACGCCATAACTTGAGAACGCTAGACCGATTTGGCAGATTTTTTTTAAAATTTTTGTCAGGAGAAGGTTCTTATGATAGAAAAAAATCATGAAAATAAAATGGGAACGGGAGAAAACGGGATTGCGCGTACGAAGTCGCGGGCAGAAGCTAGTTTTAAATAAACATACGAAATGCTTTCTGCCTCGCACAGTAAAACTGTGGAATGATCTGTCGTCGGCGGTATTTCCGAACCGATACGACCTTCAAACCTTCAAGAAAAGAGCGTATTCCTTTTTAAAAGGTCGGCAACGCACCTGTGGCTTCTCTGGTGTTGCGGGTGTCCATGGGCGGCGCTGATCGCTTACCATCAGGTGATCCGTCTGCTCGTTTGCCTCCATAAAAGAAAATACATGCAATAAATCAGAAATAATTTTAATAAGCACAAGTCTTTAACGCTTGCATGACAGTTTTAGATATAGCTTCAAATTCCTTTAGTGCATGCTCAGAACTGGATCGTTTAAACTCTTCCATCGACGCAAATGCCATCACAAGGTCTTTGAGAACACGATTGACTACTTCAACCATTATCTTATGATTGGGTCTTTCGGTAGACTCTGCGACGTATATTGCGGCCGACACCTATAAGTTGAAAATAAACTTTCGTTTGACATACGCCTTTTATCCCAGAAGGGATAGGCAGAGGTGCACATTATAGCACTTAGGTAAGGCACTGTAACACCCACTTTTTACTATTTATGTTATGAGCCCCATGTAATAGGGGGTAAGCTATTGCCATATACCGGGTACAATTTAAGAATCCGTGTTATTACTGAGAATTATTAAAAAAAATCAATAATACTTTGCCCGGCCCGGTAAACGTACCCGAGACCCCTTGCCCGGCAGTCGCACTTCCGACCACTCGGCCAACGAGGTAGAGGCCACAAAACATTGTTAGAATTTTCCTATCTTATTACCTACCTTAGATTTCCAAGACTCGAGTACTTCTGCCATTACGAAAGACTTGTCTTTCACTCCTATATTTTTTAAATTGTGACGTAACAATACTAAATGATGTCCCCGACAAACATCTGCAAGAAATTCGGTGTCATTAGAACGAAACGCATGTTTTAAAAACACAATAGGCATTCCATTGTGTTTTTATCTTACCCTTAATACAATCCTTTTCGTCTTCTCCGTTGGGACAGTTGTCTTTTCCGTTACAAATTGCATCAACAGGTATTGTCATATTAGTGACATTACATGAGTATCGGGTTAGCAGAGGTTCGGCTAGACAAGCATGGATACAATTCTTGCTACACCTCCGCAGAGCACAGAGTCCATCTCTACAGTAACACCCTTCTGGTGATATTATTTTCTCGTTTCCAGTGTGAGATAATTTAAGAGCTTGTATCAATTTTTCGTTAATTGAGAGTAAAGTAAGATAGTGCTCGTCCAGTTCGTCTAAGCTAGCTGTTTGCATAAAGTCATCGTAAATAGAGACCAACTGCAGAAAACATTCATCTCTTAGAGATTTTATAATGTGGCTGTCATAATTGGTTTTAACGGTCTGTTTTTGTAATTGCCGAACTAGACTGTGCACTGCAAGCACCTTGTTGCGACTGCGTTGATACTCGTACGATTTAGACTTTTCTGTCAAAAGTTCCAACAATATGTTGTATTTTTTTATAGCGCCAAATTTGGAAGAAACTATATCTGAAACAATAATATTACCAAACGATTAAAAGATTAATACCACACCAGACAGCTCTCTGAAATACGATGGTATTTGATATGATATAATGATAATGATTAAATAATTATCAATTGAAATCTTACCTGACGTGCATTGTGACTCATCGGTTTCATCGAAACAGTCAAGTTTTCCATCACAAATGGTATCTAGTGAGACACTCGTAGCACTGTTCAAGGCTTGACAACCCCAATGGTTCAAACTGTATCTCTCCCAACATATGCGCTTGCATGTGGCCTCACACTGTGGGTTTTTACAATACTGTCCTTTACAGGAACATGATTTTGGTGACCAGCCGAGGTCCCGGGGTCTTTCCACAAGATCATCGAATTGATCATTAAATTTTCGAAAATCGGTGAAGTATTGATCTGGATCTATCTTAGTGTGTGCACAAAGTGTACCATCTAGAGCGTATGACAAAGTACTAAGGATCGCATTCACGTCGTTTACTCTCTTTAGTATAAACACTTCATTTTCATTTGGTTTTTCTGTCGCAGAATCGGATGGCTTTGGATTGGCTGGAATTTTTTTTACTATCATTTCCATTTCCGTTTTCAATAAATCTCGCAATATTTGATTGTGTGACGATAAAAGGTAAGTATTTGTTGATGCAAAGCATTTTCGATTAATCGAGGCTTCTATATCTGTCATTACAGCAGCGGCTTTGCGGATCTTTTCCATTGCTAAAGAACAAGTAGGTATCAATTTGTTAATATATACTTACAGTTCCTAGCTAAATTATAGAAAGTAGATTAGTACAGTCTCAAACAATAATAATGTTTACTTTAGAAGTGTAAAGCAAGAATGATGAGATACATAAAATATAGGTAATGTGATTATCCACAGGTAGTAAGTAGGTACCTAGGTAGGTAGGTATATAGTCAATTACCCTGGTACCAACTACTGCTACTAATGATTATTGAAAAACTATCATTTTAACAGGCAATACCTTGTTTGGTTGTTGCGCATGCGTTTGTTTGATAATGCAAATAACTAAATAATAATAAGATTAGTACGTAATAATTATTTACGTAGTTGTCACCTTTGGCCGTGCAGTTATTTTCGTCACTTTTGTCCAAACAGTCAACAACGCCGTTGCATAGATATACAATGGGTATACTTTTATGGTCATCACAGGAATATTTGTTAAAAGATTGAATACTAAGACAAGTATCCTCTATAATATCATTACAGCGTGGGTCTATGGAAGTATCATTTAACGAATGAGATATTAACTTTTTATATTTGTTAATTTCTTCTATATTCGATTCGACATCATTTACCGGGTCTTCTTTTTTTGTTTCACGCTTTTGGTTCTCCGTAGTCGGTTCGTTTATATCCTTTAACGACTTAATAACCATACGTCTTCCGTCTATTTCTTGTCCAAGCAGTTTTTGAATGGATAAATCGAGACCTCTTGCTATAAGATTACTATATGTCTTGAGTTCGTCATGTCTGTTGTGAAGCATGATGTGTTTTTGCATAGCGGAATCCATTATTCTTTTCTTAATTTTTTCCAATACCTGTTTCTTACCCTCAGGTGTTTTAGCATCTTTCAGATAGCTTTTCGCAAGAAACTCAATTTTACTTGCTATTTCTTTTATGACTTCTTTTTTTCCTTCTTTGTCTATTCCAATTCGTAATGTTGGCACTTCTTTGGTTCGTACGTGAACACTTTTTCTTATAATTTCAGAAGCTGTCTTGTCATGGTTTTTGTTTTTATTAAACGTCTTCCTTCTAAACTCTTCCATAATGTACTTAATATATTTTTCTGCATCAGGTCCCATTGATTTAGCAGATTTCCTCAATTTATTTTCAATTTTGTTTAAAATGTCTTCCTTTTTTTCATGAGGAGCTTTAGATAAAGCGTTTATTGTTAAGTTAGATACTTTTTTCATAATTTCTTGGATAATCATTGCTTTAATTGTTTTATTACTAGACCTTGTATCAGCTGAAAGGAAATATTCAAATATTTTCATTACTCATTAGAAAAAACATAATATATTGCTTTTTATTGAAGTTTTACCTATTTGTGTAACTTAATTAAAGGATTAATTTTTGTTTCAAGTTAAAAATATTTCAAATACTTAACAAACTTACCATGATTGCAACATACAAATGTTAATACAAACACTGTAACAAAATAAAATCTCATGAAGTTTACTCCTTTGCACAATAGCATTCTAAATTTCCAGCCAATATCTCCGTAGAACTATTCACATACCACTAAAATAGTCGTTAAACAATATGTAGGTAATTATTATAAATTGATGAGATATGGAAATAATTACATTTTCAATGTAATTTTGATAAAGATAATTAGGTACAATAGAAAATGCATTATATATTTAGAATTCTTGTACATGTTTAACTATATAAGAAACAGATCGTAAATGCCGTAAATAAGCATTCATTTACCATGACCAGTTTTTAATTTATTTGATTTTGGTAACTTTATACCTACTTAGTTGTTTTATTCGTATCATCATTTATTTATGTAATACCTATGTTTTTTTGAAATATTTGATTACAATATCAATTCTTCAATTGATTACTGTTCATACAAATATTTTAGAAACTTAGTTCCATTTCAAAGTGTTATTCTCTTCGGTTAAACATATTTTAGTAAGTGTAAAAAAGTAACAAAACGCAATAATAACTGTCAAAGTCGCACTGTCAAATCACTGAAATTGTCAAACCACAATATAACCTCAACTGTATCATTTCATTTTATGGCATAAAATAGTAAATATTATTTTCCTAACTGTATAGAAGCAAGAAATCATTCAAATATGAATATTCCTATTATAAAACTTCTCCAGGTAAAATTGATTCTTTGTTTTATTATACACATAAAACATTTCAATTTGGTTACCTAATTTTTAATATTGGTTTTATGTTTTTTTCTTTTTATAGTCAGGTTTTGGTACCAGCAGTGTGATATCGCAATGTTCACCAATACTAGCATCTCAACTGCACACGTCTGCTCCGCTATGCCGAGTGGTATCAGGGAAATACAGGATCACGAAGAAACGAGACAGGCCCCTAACATACGAAATGGCAAATCCTCCACATTACATTGCTCACCGAAAATCATGGAACTCTTGGAATACTTGTAAGTATCTAATATAATTATTATCAAGATTGTGGCTTGGCTGTGTAAGTCAAGCTTTTTATAAGACCTCTAATACTTAAAATTAACTGAGATCTGTATCCTTTTAGCCAATTTAAAGGGTGGCCTAAGAAGGTCTGAGACAGCAGTTGAAGATGAATTCATTAGAAGATTCATGACTGGTACATGGCATGGCCTTGTTTGCAGTGAGGTAAGCATCATCTTGTTACTGGTACTTATTTATTACTTTTTACCAATAATATGCAGAAACTTTGTTAGTTGATAAATTTCTAAAAGTATTTCTGGTTCTCCATGCTCTTCTATTTTTTTTATTAATGGAAATTATGAATTAATAACATGAGCTACAGATTTTTCACTATGAATTTGAAACCACCATGACACCAGGCCACAGTTAAAATTATTGAAATTAATTTTGGAACACTTAATTGCAGGTTATAATCAAACGGCAATTCAACCACATACGAGTAGCTGCTATCATCAGGCGAGCTGTGTCACCCACTAAAATGTATTTTCTACTTGGCTACACTGAGGAATTACTCTCAAACTGGCTGCAGTGCCCCGTCACCCTTGAATTACAGACAGTTGACAGCTTTAAAGATGTTGTGTTCAAATATATTTAATGTTACCATTTAATTTGTAGTGTAGTCATTAGGATTAATAAAGTGTATATGAAAATATTTAGGTATGTTTATTTTATCCGGCAACAACTACATTTTTATAAAGTGTAGTATTGTATTGAATGTTTTTCTAATATTTGTTTAAAAATATAGCAATACAAAACAGGTTAATAAACTTGAAACAGTACACTTCCCAATTTTAGCTTTGAGCTTATAAATAAAAGGTATTGAAAATACTAAAGTATAGTAAATGGAAAAAATAAAAGTCGAGTAGTAAAATTCATCTTATAATTTTTGATTCCTTCAAATATACATAATGTATCAACAAACAGAACAGCGAGACGCGGGCCGCGCGGCGCCGCACACACACACGCACACAGCCGGCCCACACACACACACACACAGCCGCCCCAACACGACCGAGCCGCGACCGAACTTCTGCACATACGCTTTGTACTTTTATAGATCTTTATACACATTGTGGCGAAACAAACACCGGTTGTTCCTGTGTCTGCGGGTATCATAATTGTACGGTATTAAAATGAAATATTGCGGTCTCACCATTTGCTTCAAATTGTCCACAAAGCCAAGCGGTGTCAGTTTCTAAATCTGAGAGTACATGTAACATTCCCTTTTCAAATGACAATTCCCCTAAATTTCTCATAAATGCCTATGGTGTCTCTCTCAGGTAAATTTGTATTGTCTATCACAGTGTCGTAAAGCATTTGTCCTTACATACTAGTGAGTTAAACATTGCGATCTTATCATTAAATCACCATAAAACACATTTTGTAAACTCGTTAAGGTGCTTCAGAAAATATTTTTAATTATCATGATATCCATTTTAAAGTCTCAAACAGTCTTTCATATTGAGCTAATTCGGTGCCTGTGGAATGTCTGTCGTTCCTAGAAGAAGGCTGTGTTCCGTAGTAGTGTCTGTCGGCTCAGTGTGCGCAGAAGTCCAACCGGCTGACAATATGCGACGGCTCGCTCGTTGTTTAGCATTAATTGTTATCGAAATTACATATTTACAAATTAAATATACACACAACATGAAGGCTTCTGTGGTTCATTCGAATAACTGTCCAAAACTTAGAAGCATCGTTGAAGCCTCCCGTTGGATCAACTAACAGGAGAATACAACACACAGTTATGAATATTTACATTAAACAGAAATGAAGATATGATACAAATATTATGTACAAATAAAATTATTCCAAAAGGAATTATCAATAGCACAATATTGAAATATGTATTAAAAAGACGATTCAATAATAATAATTATGGAGAGGTTTCAACGACACGAACAGAAAGTGCTTTTCACAATTTTGGATGGCATCAGTTTATGTAAATCAATTAATATAATTACAGTGGAATATAACAAATGTAATGTGCGATCAAAATTCCTATTTCAACGCTACACACTGCTACAACTATTAAGTAAAAATGTCCATCAAAATTCTATTAAAAATAAAGAGATCATATATGTTCTACAAATAAGATAAACTTGTTGCAATAAAGCTCTAGATTATTCATAAGCGATACTTACGCACCGTGGTTGTGTTCTGTTGGTTTCTTTCAATACTGTATAGTGAACTATGGTGTAACGGACTACGACTTGCTTACAATACGGTGTACGCCTGCATCACATATTGCTAAACATCACATTAGTAACATGCAGAAATATGTGTTGCAGGACATGGCAGTAACTAGACACTATTATAAAATTACGATGGCAAACAAAGATTGCGTATATTATTACCGAACGCGTAAGTATAACTCAGAATACAGAATCATGTAAAGCCAAATCTTAGTAGATAATTGTTGCCCTATTGTATTGCTATTGTTCCGAGGTGGACTGTAGTCCTAGTTATTATGCTTCATAAGATATCGTATCGTATAATTAGGTACTGACAACACGGTAAATGCAAAAATACTCACTACTATTTTAAAAATCTATTTGTGGATATTTAGTGAATTAATAAAGTGAATTAACATTGGATCATTTCGAATACTCATGTCAACTTAAATTTAACATTTGAAAATTTTGTGTGCTATGAAGGCAAATTGGATATTGTACGCTGGAACCGCTCCGCCGCCATGTAAGTGGATAGAATGTATGGGCGCTGGCGCCGCCGACTTGTGCTCCACAGATTTTAAATCTACTGTACTTAGAAAAATTATACAGCGTCAGTAGTAAAATTTGATTCGTATAAAACTTCATTTTAACTCCATTTATCCTAAAAGTAATAATTCAATATACCCTTTTTATGATTTGGCTTAATTTTTCTTCACAATACATCAGATAGATTACAAGAGAGACGTATCCCTATCACAATCACATTAGTAACATTAAAAATTAAATACAACAGCACCTGTCGTTTGATATACATAATAATATAATATACTGAATAAAAATATTCAAAATTAATTATTCGATATAAATAATTCCGATGGAGATGACAAAATAAGCGTAGATACAACTATGCAGTGGTCCAAATAGTTTTTGTTTATAATAATATAGGTGATTAAATTTTTGTTTTGTAAATATCACTACTTATTCCGAAGAAACAACTAACGCTTCACAACGAGAACATTGCGCAAGAGATCGATCGATCGTACACGGCTGGCTACAACGGCGCGGTTTTGAACGTCTTCAGAGAATTCAAAATCGTTCGCTCTGCAGCGAGTCGGACGCGACGCGACGCCCTGCGCCCTGACTAGCTCGCGCACCGGCCTCCGACCGCCCTACTACTATCGACACTCACACAAACATTTGTACTACGCCAGTATGCTATACCCGCTATTACTAAACTGGAGCGGTTCGCCGTCGGACGCCTCCGGAACATCAATTAAAAAACTTACTAAAACTAAAAATAAAATGCATCTAACATCGTTTCGCAATTTTTGATCGGACCTCTCGTGAGACGACGCGAATACTGAACAAGTTACAAAACCAAATGAAACACCTTAACAACTAACGATAACTATTTTGTGAATAGTAACAATGATACGTAAATTCAAATGGGGGAGGGTCTCGATCGTCACATAACAAAATTATAACCTACTTACAGCTAGGGAGGGGGGCGTCCGGTGGCGACTCACCGCCGAAGGAGACCGTTCATATAAAACTCAAGACTTACACTAAGCTACACAACTCTCCACTTACATACGCAGACAGACGTCTAAAAACTCACGAAGGGGAACGGGAGATAGAGGGAGGGTATAATGTCTCGCTGAGTAGTTTGTTGGTACACTCGATGTCACAATTAACCTAGCTCCGGCCACGCGGCCGCCGCTCTACTTTGTTCAGCGCCACACCGACTACCGACAATCCGACCGAACGTCATCGAGTCTACAATACCGACGGAAATCCTAACACTACACGAAATATTACATTTACCGATCAGTGAGACAGTCTTCGCGACCAAGAAGTTCACGTAACACTGGACAATAACCAAACGGCGAAGAAAAGGACAAACAATATCCCGCGAAGCTAGAGCACTACGCTTCAACCGGGGAAGACAGGGACTAACACAATCCTAGCCAACGACACGGATGCAAGTGATGTTGTGGAGACAGCACCTCACTACGAAAGGCACTCACTCGTCAATACAGACTCTACTATGTCTTTATATACTCATTGCTAGTTGCTACGACTCTATATATTTATCTATTGCTTTGATTGCTTCAGGTTACATATTAACTTCTAGCAGGACTGCATTAGGCACGCAACGACCTATTCAAATAAAATAGAATGAACGCAAACATCACTATGTGTACACTGTTCCGCAGCCGTCGCACGGAACTGGAACTAGTTGTCACGTTTTCACAACACACAACGTTCGTGTCAGATAATATTTTGAAACAATACTATATCACTTCACATTATCACTTAGATATTTAAAATTTATTGCACACACGTGATGTCACTTTGTAGGCAGTGTTAGATTTAACAATGGTCTCTATATAAAACTTTATAATAGTTAATTAAGTATCAAAAATAATTCAAATATTCTATTACATTATTAAAGATTTATGATAGCTATCTTACAACCCGGCCCTGAAAGTACCAACTATTCGCACTATGTCTAGTAGTCTAGTATAACAAGTTCGTAAGTACGAGTACGCCCGCGCGGCCGGCGGTGACGTCACCGCGCACGTGCGGCGGTGACGTCACGCGGCCGCGCTCCGAACACTAGTCTCACTGATCCAGCCGCGGGGCAGGCGCGGGGACCGACGTGTCCTCGCGCCTGCACCGCTTCACAAACACGTACATACATTGCATTTTAATCCCAAAAATATTATCTAAATAATATACAGTGGAGGAATTTATTTCACTAATTGATAAATGGACGTTTGAATCTCACACATGAGGACATTGATGTTACAAATTATATTAATTATGTAATCGACTGCATCGTCAGTATCGCGCTCTAAATGAAAAGTAAAACACCAGATGGACGCCAAGTAATTAAGAAGTACTAAATGAGACACGAACGTGGCGCTCTGGTCATTTTATATTCCCCGCGGACATGACTACGTTGCTATTTAATATTCCTCAACTGTATAATATAATACATCGAAAAACTAAGCGTAAAATTGCTGTCGCAATCGACTGAAAAAATATGTATCTTTACGATTCCTCCATACAATTTTATTGACACAATAAGCGTAGGTCATATTTTAGTTCATTCATATTTTATTGAATCAATATTTAAAATTACATCTACATAATTTTAGTCAGATTCGTTATACACAATTGCACTGTCATTCGCCACGCACAACTAACAATTTCCGATAATGTAAAGGCGTTCTAACTAATGTAATACTAACAAATCTAAGGTCGGTTATCTGTTCACTGAAACGTAAAGAATTCAACTAGTTGTAGCAACAACGCCGGCGACGTACTGACGCGCGCCGGGCACCGCTTCACTTTGTACTCTCCGAGGTACTCCCTGCGTTGGCAGTGTTGTATTGCCTGATTGGAACTATATAAAAATATATCCAGCACACCTCTTAAGCACGAACTTCAGCGGTATCAGATAAAAGGATTCCTTTATAATATATTTCTCTAAAATATTTCGTTCATTTAACTATTATAGTAAAATCTAATTTGCTTTAACTAACAACTCACAGGCTAAACAGGATAGTGTTAACTTCTAAACTTTATTGAGCAAAACAAAATTTCGAGACAGTAATTACTAGAGCTCTACTTCAGTAGTAATGTCCAGTGAAAAGAGAACGACGTCCGGTATCATGTGTAACGGTATACAAAATACATTTGTAACTATCAACTAAACTAACGTCCAGGTCGGAGACGCGTCCAAACCATGCGATAACAAAAACAACGCAGAGTATACTATGAGATGATTTAAGTAAGTACTTAAGACTAAGTTATTTGTACATAAACGATTCATAAGCTAGTTACTGATATTTGTAAAGTATATTTTAGAGTGAACTTTGATATTAGTGGTTGTAGTTTTGAAATATTCGACCTACTATATATTTTTCAACAACGAATCAATATTTAATTTGACTTTAATCAGCATAGTTAACAAGTTGCATTAATTTGAGCATTGCCTAGATCTCGGAGAGCGTATCCAAGCTGTGCAAGAAACATTTGTTCAGAAAATGTGAGGAAGATAGAAAGTACAACAGACAGAGAGGCGACACGTAGCGCTGTAACGTCACCTGCGACCTAGGCAAGCTCTTGGTCAGTTTATTTAAAAATAGATCATAGACATAGGGCGAGTTGGGAAAAGTAGAAGTTTTATAATCTCTTATGAAAGTAGTCAATGAGGGTAAATATAGAATTCGTAATTTGCGTCTACTTCTTCCAATCGCACGAACAAGTCGGGGTGAGAGTTACAAGTTTAGTATAATGGAAGCATAACTCGTAGAGGGTGCCGTCGGGGCGGTGGCGCGGCGTGCGGCCGCTAGAGCGCGCTGTGCCGCTTGTGCCTGCGCGCGCGCGGGGACGCGTGCTACCTGCGCCCGATCAGGCCGTTGGAGCTCGCGCCCGCCGTCGGGCACATCTCCAGCTCCACCAGCAACGGGAAGTGGTCTGCGGGGTGAACACTCGTTACATTATATATAACATACTATGTCATACTTTCAACTGAGCAATAAAACAGCTAGAGCGTGTGACCTTTCTTTATTTCTATAGGACACACTTTCTTATTGTTAAAAATAGTCTCAGTTACGAATACTCCTATCATATGCCTGAAACATACAATTAATAATGAAAAATTCTCACCTGAAGGTATGTGAGGATGCGGACACCCGACTACCTTGTGCTCCCGGAACCAATCCTGCGACAACGGTCCCAGGAGACCAAGCGGTGTCATTGATTGCTTGCTATAGAATATGTAGTCGATTATACCCTTGAAGTCAAACCTGAAAACAAGAAAGAAACATTCATAAACAATTTGATACAAAAGCCTTGCCATATGATAGCGGCAAAGTAGAATAGAGATTATAGCAAGTCCCTCTTTTGTAGAGGAAGTCTAGTAGTGGTTACAAAATGTTGATGATGACGATAAAACGTAAAACATATCAGGCAAATTAATCAAACACATGAATCTGACACCGCAAATTCAGAATGTTAAATCTTGAAATTTAAGAAGGTAATGCAATACTATTCACTGCTAATCTTACAGATTCGTATTGCGACACTGGTTTTAGTAACGGTATCTAATTTATTAAGAAAAAATTAAAGCGAACAATACAAGTTTGATAAAATACCCAGTTATGTATTTCTTTTGTTGTTATTTATTCAAAATTAATATATTTGAGGTATTGGCTTTATGGATAGGTAGCTTGGGGGAAGGAGGATTCGTGTCTCCGGTAACCGGTATGGGGTACTAGCTTCAGCCAGCGGTTTCACCCCCTTAATATAAAAACTACCTTAAGATTCTAGATCATAATCTATTCCAGTTTCAAATTTCATCATGCCTTTAGTCGTTTTAACGCACAAACTTTAGCATTCGTGAGTTTATTAGTAAGATGATGGCAAACGAGTAGACGAATGATCTGATGTTAGGCACTATCTGACACTTATAACACTAGGAGTTACAAATGCGTTGTCAGCCTTTTAGGAGTTAGGGATTTGTGGGTTCGACAAGGGGGGAGGAGGACAAGACTGAATACTCACGTATAGTTCGTATAGGGCATGATGTCTTCGCTATACGCGGACGCGAGTTTGAAGTTGTGCGTGAACTCGTGTTCCGAGCCGGGCATGCGACGCAGTGAGCCGGCGTAACCCAGCTCTTTGAAGTCACGATGCTCGGATGATACACGACCTGATGATAGGAACTCTACCACACCTGGAATATAAGATATTTTTGGTTAATAACTATGTAATGATAGCAATATTGTTACATAGTTTGCAAAAGAAAGATCAGATGGGGTTGCAGTTGTTAAAAGATAAACTATACATACATACGCATTGTATACGATGTCAAAAATATATTGTAAATTACATCAGAATGGAAACATTTTTACGTAACCTTTATTCGTTCTTGACCTACAAAACAGTAATAAAATTCCCCTCCTAAAAGATCTGGGTCCAAAAAGGCAATATAGAAAATGAAGCAATTGATTGATTTCGAGATAAATCACATAAACCGGGCCATATATTATGTCCTAGCAACAAACGTAGGCTTAGCAAATGTCGTAAAGTCCATATCGAAGCTATCATTGTTTCGGGTACACTCGTAAATGACAAAGAGTCAAATAAAGTGTCTAACTTAGTGGCGTTCTGTGACAAAACAGATCGATAAATCTGTCTACTTACTTAGTTGTGCTTTGTAAGCTTGGATCTTTGGACTTAGTATTCAGATATGTTTTATTGCGATGGGAAAGTCATTAATCGTGTGTCAACTAACTTGCTACTGAATAGACATTATTTATTTAGCAACACAACTTATTTATACTACAAATGTAGCTTTTATTACATTGTACAAGAATCAATATTTTCTATAAAAATAATAATAATTTCTTTTAGTAAATTTTGCTCCTTTGGACTAAATCGTGGACCTAAAATTGGAAACATAGAGCTTTTATTATATAGAAATTCTTGCAGCTCCAATATACTTGGTAACACAGTTTTACTTACCACTGTCTGGCAGCGAATTGAAGTCGCCACACAGCAGTAGCTGCACGTTGTCTCTCTGGCCTGCCAGACGCAATGACCGCGCCGACTCGTCGAGTATCGTCCGCAGTTCATTGCTCAACATCATCGTTTGAATTAACTTCACGTCGCAAAACTCCGGGTCCCAGTGTATATGCGCGGTGCACACTAGGATCGGTTGACCGAGCATTGAAGAATCTGTTGGTAATCCTGTAATTGGGAAAAAGAGACATGGTTAAAATTAAGAAGAACATGTATAAAAAAGATTTCCTTCTTTTGTGACCGTTTTGACCAACCAATTTGTTGCTCTGTAATAAGAATTTACTTCTGCCTGACACATTTTTTCACACATTTCGCATGATGGATAATTCTTTTATAAACTACGTTTAATTGTTTAAAAAAACAGACTTCAATCCCCTCTGTTTTGAAGTCGGTTAAGTAATTAATATACTATAACCTTCTCCCAAGTGTAACAAACACTTTTCTGAAAACCGCATCAAAACTGGTTCAGCCAATCGCAAGATAATCGCGCACAAACAAACACACACACACATACAGGTCAAACTGAGAACCTCCTTTTATTGAAGTCGATTGAAAGATACGTCACAGTTAAGGGCAACAGAAACTTAACCAGATTCTAAAGTAGTCAGTGTAAACAGGCTAAAAAAAATAAGCCTCCATACCATAACACTAACACTTGAAATTATGCTAATGACTGGTAATGAGTCATCAAATTCCACACACAATTTTAATTACACTCGAGTTCAACACGAGTACAATGTAATCCTCAGAAGAGTAACATGGTAAGCGAATGCCTAGTTAAATATTCCTAGTAATTCTCATACACGTGTTCACTATCACATAACTCTGCAAGCATCTCGTAACATGTAAATGATTACATAATTCGCGAGATTATTTTCTGAGATAATTTAATTAAATGTAATTAAGAACCGAGAGATCTGCCGTAGAGTTAAATTTAAAAGGACGGTAGCCTCATAACATTTTTTATTCAAACTTACTCATAGCTGGTTACGTCTCATATTTTACAAGTAAAAGTGCTTAGTGTTATCATAAAAAGGCTAAGAGTTTCATTTTTGCTGCTGAGAGCTATTTGGTCGATAAGTTATCTAAAGCCTAGTAAAAGCAGGACATGGGTACATTTCGTTCCTGTCTGCTGTTATGAAGTGAGTATCAAGAAACGTCAACGCTTGCTTGATAATTATAATCAAGCACTTAGAACGCACTTTACTTAATAGCGAATATCTTAGTTTCAGGTTTAAATGGGAGTAAAAGTAAATGTTTATGTCTAATGGGGTCACGTGGATAACTATGATATAGTTCGTATACTCTGGTAAGATTTTTTTCATTTAAGCAACCACTTGCCAACTCCAATTAAGCAAGCGTGGTGATTAATGCTTAAACCTTCGCCGCGTCAAGAGGCCTTTGCTGAGCCGTGGGCTCTTACTTATAGGCTATCGGTGATAATGTTGTTATTGAAACAAGCGCTTCAGTAGTTATATAATATCTGATGGTGTTTAATATTTATAAGAAGTTTAAGAAGATACCTTTCCTATTTTAATACAAAGACTGCAACAGCAACGCGGTCTTATGTTCTTAACACTATTGCGCATAAAGCTTGCTCGAGTTTATAGTTTATCGTGTTAATGTTAGCCGACATTATACATAGTGCACTATTAATGTTTCCTATGTATTTAGATAAGTATATTACATTTAAGCAGACTTAAAAACATTTAACAAGACAAAATGCTACATAAACGTTTGCAAATCCAAAGTAAATAATGAAACAGTTTTTCCGATTGATTTCCGATGGAAATATCTCTAAGACCAACATAATTATGACTTGTTACTTTGTTTCCGTCGAGCGCTGCATGTACGTGTTCCGCGTATAGAGAAAGTACTAAGAAATCGATTGCAGTTTTTAGGTTAATAGACAACCGATAATTACGAGACAGAATGACAGAAAAAACCGTCACGCTTTTTATCATATTCTTTTAGAAATTCGCGCCGGTCGGTGCTTCTACAAATATTTTTTGTTAAAACTAAATTAAGCTGTAAAATTTTATTTTTTGTTATTACGATCTGAATTCTATGCATAGTTTTTGGGCCATGACACGAGCGACGACGGAGGTCGGACGGAAACGGAAGTAAATAATGCGATGACGTTGAAATTTCGCTTGTTACTTAAGTTTTTTGTTGGTTCGCTTCTGAGGGAGGGCAGTGCCGCAGTGGCGTTATATATTTATGAGGATGAGTGGCGAAAGAGCCCTCATAAATTCATATTTAAATTACAACGTTTGCGTCAGTGGCTCAATTAAGGGCTAAGAGCGTAAGCGGCCGCTCATACTTTATTTAATGTTAAGAATTGCGGTAGAGCTGGATGTTTTATCCTTTGAAATTTTAATGGGAGAGATTTACTAGTTTAACGAAACGTTATTTTGTAATTTGCGTTGAATTTATTTGTGTTACTGCTTAATTTTTTAAAGCTGGTCGCAAAATGTATTTATTTTATAATTAGCTTAAAAATACTTATGGTTATCCCTCGCAAACTATAATTTTACACAAATGATTGCCAAAAACAAGGCGAAACATTTGATCGCTCGCCCGAGGGCCACACGCAACCGAGTGCATGCTACAATTATGTACTCACCATTTTCCCATGCTGCCTCTTTCGTTTTAATAAGTGCTGCCAACCCTATATTGTCCTTCGGCATGACACGGTTTAACATATTATCTGATCCCTCACTGTTAGCCATTGCCAGTTGGTTGAACTCTATAAGGTGCTCCTTTACTAAAGCGAACCTGCAACACAAAGTTGATCATAAACATCTGTACAAAACAAATAAAATTTTATTATTACATTTTATAAACGGCGCGACGGAATGAAGTCATAAGCTTTTGATGTTTTTTCTTGAGCTGTAAAGAGTGTATTGACTTATAATCTATGCGTATGGTGAGCGGTTGGTGGTGGGCGTATAAACAACGTCGCTCTCGTGAAGATAAATCCTAGACTTTATTATATTGTTAAAGATAATGTAGTTATCAATGTAACTTTAAACTATGTTATGAAAATACAAACGTCATGCTCACTGGACATTTAACACGAAATAAATCTCTCTGAGTTTAATGTAAAAAATGTTATCGTAAATTCTTAGTCAATAAATTGAAAGATACAAGTTGTACATACTTTGCAGATCTGAAGAAAATAGCGCACCCGTCGACATACTTTCTTTCTGATTCGCCCATGGTCTTGGCGCGGGACTTGGGCGAGAATATACCATCGTAACCGTCCTGCTTCAGCTCGGGCAGGAAGAAGTTGTAGAATTGGTCTGTTTCTACTTCCTACATAAAAAAATTGTATAAAGAGGTAATTCTTTTAAGGCAAGAAGCAAGGTTTATAGCAAGGGTACAATGTTTTTCATACTTCTAAAAATTTTCATGTAATACTAACCTGTAAGCTGATGATGTCGGCCGAATAATGTCTAATCTCGTCAAGGATGCCCTTCTTCCTGTAGTCCCACTCGAGCGCCCAGCTGGGGCAGTAGCCGTACATTTGTCGCGTCGCGTACTTGTCACATAGCACGTTGTAACACATCACTGTGAATATACCTGCAAACGAAACAAAAATCACGTTATTGTAATACTAAAAGTAAAGCGTACTGCACATAATTTTCTTTCATTGAAAGAGAAAGAAAGAAAGAAAAAACATTTATTCAGCACCAGGCATTGCTCCCTTAGTCCTTACTCCAGTCCTAATTTCGTATCGAAGGCTTATTAAACATTACCACTCTATAAATACGGGACGTGAAGACGGTTCTGAATAAGTTGTAATTCTTTCAACGTCGGTGTCACCGCGTCGTTTATCTCACGACACCATGTTAGGTGAGCATCACCAGCCAATTAGCTAGCTCCGACATTTTGTTACCAGTGTCCGCACAACTCGCGTGACAGATAAAAAATGTTCCAATTAAAATGAGAATCTTATTACGCTCTACATGCAGCAGGCACGCGACACAATGGCTTTGCTTTTTCTAATCATATCTCACATGCGGCCGCCGCGGCCAATGCTCCGACCACACTCGGTTTAGCTTGTTGTTTTAGGTCACAGATTGAAAATAGAAGTTTCCGATTTATGAACGATTACGTAGATAGATTTAATGACACAACGAATGAAACATAATTTCTCATACATATTAAATGAAGCGCCTATTTCTGCACAATGGCGACATCTATAATAGAAAACGGAAACGTTCTCGTTCAGCCTAGCTGAACTAAGGAAATTGGGCATCATAAGTGTTCTGCGAACAGCGACGGATTCATTTTAACGTATCCACTTATTACGTAAACTAAGGTGGCACGACTGTGCTCTCTCACGCTCCACACCATTATCTCAGATTTATGCGGACGCGGTGCGCTCGCACCCGTCTCATTACGCGAATCAAAAGGCGCGCGCTGCGCAGGACGATGAGGGCCGCTCGTCTAAATGTCAACTTCGTGGAAGACCTTGGCGATGCAATTATCTAGATTTAATCGAGCCGGTCTCAGTCAATCAGCAGACAAAGAACCGGGAGTGTAGCTTGTAAGACAAAGCGGCGCTGACGGGCACACGACAGCTGGAAGGACAAGACAATGCGTCGAGATCGGCCGCAGAGCCGTAGTCCGGACAAATTGATAACGATCGCTCGGTGCGCTCGCGCTCATGCTAATCGACACAAAGTCAAAGTCACCTGGCGACACTCGACGACGATCAATACAGCCGCAGCACGTGCTTCAAATACGTCCATTGTATGCCCGATGCGAGCGCGCGAGACGCGGCGCACATGCCAAATGTCGCGAAACAATACACGCATCGATAATCGCTCGTTGTTTAAGGAACTACGGGCGAAACGAAAGCTCTACACCAACACAATAATAAATGGTAATGTTGTCGAACATGTGGACGCGTGTCTTCATTTCAAATAAATCGACGACGATGATGAAATAGTACGTGAACGAAGCACAAACAATGGGAGAAGGTGACACTAACTGCGTGTGGTTACAATATTCCTGATAGCTACGACCATTGTGCACTGTACGTTATGGTTTTAGCACCGAAGCGTGGGCATATCAAAGATGTCATGTGTATATGTTGTAAAGTAAATTTACTAGTGCGCGCAGTAAAAAATATATGAGAGTAAAAAGGAAAAGGTGCGCCGACGGAAGTCGACCGACTATTAAGGCATGTCACGACGATCTACCGTCTACATTTTGCACAGATATAGCAAAGTGCAGTGTTGCTTCACACGTTTACCCTGAACAATACCTGGTACTTATAAGTCTTATGGAGTGTGAACAATGAACAAATCAAAGCTTACCGGGAAGTCCATTTATAAAAATTTTGGAAGAGATATTTTACGTAAAGACGATCAGTTATAGTTATGCTCGAGTAATGATTTGTAATATCGATTCGATTCGTAAGAGATGAACAGAGGCTGTTTTTGCGGAGTGAACCCAGCTCATTAAAATCACTTTAAGCACGCGGAGATTTTCTATTTGGATTGGCGTTGTAAATAACTCATTAGATCACGTTCGGTCAGAGCCCGGTGTGATCGACAATATGACGTAAGAAGTCTCAATAGGTGCTAACAAGATGTTGTTAGTGGGAGCTGAGACGCAACATCGGTAGGTACTTGTTGCTGACCGTACTGCTTCATGGATTTCACCTTCAGTTCAGTTAATGGGAGAGAATCATGCGAATTTGCTCAAATTTAATGTAAATTTCAAAAATAGGAACACATTTTTGGCTTACCATTTTTAATTATATTAGTATTTTGATTTAGGTATTGAGTAGGGTTATAAATTAAGATATTAATTGGCAAAGTATCAAATTACTACCTACAATGGAGTCCTATTATCTGAATGTGCAAAGGCTTCATAAAATCCCCATGTTTTATTATTTTAGTTAGACCTTTAGAAAACATAATTTACGCATAGTTTCTTAATACAAACCAGTTTTAATTACTCAGACGATCATTCTTTTCCAATACATATTTGATTAATGATAATTTAAATGAAAACAAATGATTTAAAAAATGCAAAACAAGTTATTTAAAAAATAAAAACGGGCTTCAAATGAACACTGACAATGTAATTTAGAACATGCTAGAAATTCATACTTGTGAAAATGACAAATCGCATGAAGGGTCTACAAGTGTACATAGTTACCATGTATCAAATCGAATGTGTTGTGAGTCAAAGATTTCTCTTAGAATTGCTGACAGGTGTAGAGAGTAAAGATGCATTCGCTAAATTATGAACACACATTAATCAAACAAGCAGAGGTAACGGCTAGCTAGCGTGAAGCGTCGGAGTTCGCGAAACGTGCATGATTTAAGAACAGGGGGATGGTGTGAACAGTTATTACGTGGCGAGATTGTGTCGATCAAAACATCTCACTCCAGTGTTTATGCGGGCAATAAGAAAAAGAAATAAACCAGTTAGCTATCGCAGCTCATCTGAATATAATGGGAGGAGGCGCACAGACGTCTGTTTATTGGCGATGCCATTACGTGGGCATTTTGTACCACGACAGACGTAGGAATTATTTATTCAAGTGTTCAAGTTGTAAACGTCTATTGTTTCACGGTTTTTTTACTCAAGCTGACTAAGAAAGGTCACCTACGAATACGAAGCATTAAGAAAACAAACTTTTATAAACAAGTCAGTTTTCATATAATAATGTAGTTGACTCATACTCACGTACAGACCTTACTTTGTTCGATCCGTAAACAAACAAGCTGTTGGAACATACTACACATTTGTCACACAATCTTGGAGCCTTATTTGTTGCTAGTCTTGCTACCATCAACTGATTTCAATACCTAGCACATGAGTATAACGAAGAAGTCCCAAGGTTTGTCGGCTGTCGTCTGCGATACTTGTTTATGTCTCCGTGTGATTTATTTTCTGTCTGAAGAGAGTAAGGTATCTAGCATAAGTTTTGCGGGATCTGCGGGTTCACGGATGCGAGGAGGTCGCAGCCAATGTCTCTCATTGTGCATTGTTTATCCGCGAATGGCGAGACGAAGGGCATTTCCTCTCTTCCCTAGCAAACTGACCATGAGAGCGACTAAGCGCGATCGACTGAATCGGTTTCTAAGTGTATTGTAGATCGTTTCCTATTTACGGTCCATTGATTATTAGGTAAATACGAGTAAGCACAGTAAGTAGCCACCATGTAACAAGAAGGTCGACACCGTAATGACGTTGTATAAGTGACCAGCTTCATAGATGGCTGGTCAGATTTACGCAATGCACCTTCGACGCAGCAACTATGAGTATTTTAACAAATGAGGACTGTAGTATAGTAGGTATATGCAGCGATATTAATTATTTGCCAATAGGTGTAAGGTTGTGCCAGTGCCAGCTAGGCTCGAACGTCCGCTTTGATTTATGTAAATTGGGTACGCGCATCGTGCGTCGGGAAGCGGCATGAGTGCCGGCCAAGAACGCGTGACGGGATCTTAACTCTGTCGGCATACACTTCACGATTAGTTGTTACTTAGAACTCCACGCTAAAATAAATTTCAGAGAACTCAATAAAGTGCAATGCCAGAACCAGAAAATGTTGAAGCTTTCTGTAAAAGTGCATTGAATAAAGATTTTCTAGTAATTGGGTTTTGTATATAAATAAACAACCCGAATATAGGTTATAATAATAATTATGTAGTTTTGAGAGTAGTGTTTTTGACCAAAAAGTAATTACACTGTGTATGTACATTATTAATAAGTACATGTAAGTAGAAAGTTGTCATTGTCAATTGCATGAACTTGTAGTGATCGCGTCTGGACTATTGAAATGGGAAAGATAAATCTACCGCAGACGAGGAAGCTCCACCTATCAGAATTATTCAAATGTCATACAACGTTAACTGTGTAACGGTATCGGATGAAAGACTGCAAGTTAGGACTGAAGCAGGACCAAACTAGTATCCCTAGGGTCTCCCACGGGTGGAAATATTACCGTTGCATGGTAGGGCGGTCTCTGGTTGATTATTTATGAGACGGCCCGCGTGCGCCGCGCCCATACGTGCCACTATGACACTTTATTAATGACAAACTTGTTGCTAAGCTTTTTGTTATCACTATTAAATAATCTCGGGCCGTCCTTAGCTATGAATCGTATTACTACGAATAAAAAGGTGCAATTGCGATGTTATCGTTTATATTAATGTTTAAACAAGCAATTGCACATGCAGACTCAAGTTGTTATTGCAAGTATTAGTTTTCGACAACTAATATTGTAGTAAAAGCAGCAATACTTACAAGTAGGACGAGTTCTGTTCGGTCGGGTCAATGGTATCCAAGGCCTCTGTGGTGGTAGAGTGGCAGAAACTGAAACAAAATAAAAAGAATACGTTACTTTCAATGAGAACAAGGAGCTGATTCGTAGCGATCTCGATATTTGATTTTGGTTTGCAAAAAATAAAGAAGATCTGGAACTGATTGTGGACGGAATAAATCATTTGTATGCATTCACAAAAACTTGGTGATATCATTTTGAGTTGTAAATCGTGCATGTATAATCATTACTGAAAGCTTTCAACATTCGACAGTAGTGGAATCTTCACAATATTTCGATGAGTGCGATGTCGACGAAGGCGAGAACAAAAAGTTCTCACTTCATTTGCATCGTTGGTTTACATCTTCTGTCTACATTGCTGTAGGAACAAAGACATCTAAAAAACTTGTTCTATTGTTCTGTTCTGTATACGCAACGAAACATCAATTCGAGCGAAAAATCAACAAGCGAGCGGTGGTCTATACTACAACGGTACCGGAACCGCATTTGCAAATACAGCATTGAGCAAAAACTTAATGACTCGCGTCGGAAAAATCATGAAAATAAAACAAATATACCTGAATTTTATGATAAAGAAGCAACAACGGAACTTTTTAATGTAAAAGAAACTGTGGGAAATGCTATAAGTACACCCGGTCCTACGAAAGGAATACAAAAGGATAGTAATTTTCTTTATTAAAAATTGAAGCTAGCAACTGTTACTAAACCAATTTACTTATTACATTAACATATTGATACTGTTGAAAGAAATTAATATCAGCCGTCGAGTCGCCTCATGTAAGATGTTATTACTCGTCCTGGTGATCGAAGTATTTCAAACCGTTCAATGGAGATTAATAGAACCGAATTTCGTATGTCCATCACTCACGGTGTGACGACATGGTATAAAAAACAAGGTGATTTACATAACTTGATGTATGGTCTTTAAGCCTTGGCTCGCTTAAATTGCTGAGACATTTGATAGTTATCTTTATTTTTGATCGATTGTTCAATGGAATATTGATGACAATTTGTGTTTGCTCGCAGCACGTAGTATATATTTCATTAACATGTTCTGTGCAAAAAAACCTTTTTAAGGAATAGCTTACGAAACTAAATCATTCGAGATTAGTTCGACATTCGAATGCAAAATTAAGTGGAATGGTATTGTCGGGCGTTTTTGCTAAAGTTTAGTCGTAGCAACGGACCACGGCCACTCGTGCGTAAATCATAATATGAAATGTCCGTCGCTCTGTAATTATGTAATGGGTTTACTCTAACAGTGAGCTCACTTTTGATGCCCAGATAATAATCTACATCTATTGAAAATTGCAATGAAAGTACTAATTTGAACATAAGTTCGGTATTTTTATGTTCGATAGAGATAATAAATATTGATACGTACATAAGTACTATATTTGACGCTATTTTCCTATTTAGCCTTTATTACTACTTCACATTTTATATCAGTTCTGGTTTGTATTCACCAAAGCTTAATTCACATCAGTGAATGTAAACTTTGATATCCTGGAATTTTATGCAAACATCGTGTTTACTGCGTGTTTAAACCCTTTATCCTGAAGCGCAGTTACATCTTTACGGTATTTTTATGACTGTCTTTTGTTTTAAATAAATACATACGACATATTTTTGCGTTAAGTAGGTACCTGTTGAGCATTTTAAAAGGCATTATAATGTGAAGTGTAATATGTTGAACTATGAGAAGCTTTAAGCGGTATTGTCACCTCAGCAAGTTATTGTGTATGGGGCGGCGGGCGTCAGAGCGGTGTCGCGGGCGGACGCGAGCGCGGGCGTCGTTGTCGCCTCATTACACTTTGTAATTAGGCCCGTGGGCTGCGTACGAGCCGCGGCCCTGCACTAAATCACGACAGGCCCGCTTTAACATGCGCGACCGACGCAACCGGCGCGGCGTCCCCAACACCCATAATCCATACCGACACAATGGTTGTTTATGGATGTGTTATTGAATATTAAGCAGCGCTAAAAAAGCTGTTCCGTCTGCGGCGTGTGAGTGACGCACTTTACATATTTTGAGGTAAACAATGTTGTACCTATCTTCGGTTGGGTGCGTCTAACAATTCACGACCGAAGCGAAAAATATAAAGATTTTTTCGAAATAACTTTCTCGAGAAGTCATCGATTCTCTTCAACTCGTCACGATTTCCGACAGCACTAACAAGACAAGACGAGCACAAACAAAGTGGTGTTAGGAGCGACAAGGCAACGTGGCGGCGGCGAGTGAAAGTCGAATGCACTACAGCCACTAGATAGGCTAGCTGTGATAAGCATCGACACGCTCTTCACATTGTTCGCGCTCCGATACATGAGATAAGGCTTTCTCTGTTCTTCTCTCAAGAGCTACCGTGAGAACGCCCCTTGTATCATACGACTTGACATTTGCAAAACAGGAGCGTTCTTTATCTGATTGAATATTAACATAACTACTATCAGTCATATCAGCAATTTAAAACAAATGACTTGAGATGTTACTTGCCGGATTATGGACAATCTCGGCTTTACAAAGTAATTTTTCATGTTGTAAGCAAAGCAGAAGGTAAACAGATAATGAATGTAACCCCATCGCAAATAAAATACACGTATGTAGCTAATTTATCGATAACAAACAGATAAAGAAGTACATATCAAAGGCGCCGAGGCCACAGGGTTAATCAATTCCATGCAAAACATTTTCAGTCCATTGACTATCGTATCTTCGCTAGACGCTGAGGAGCCGATCGAGCTAAAACCGGTATCCTCTGTTGCATCACCTTTAACAGCAAATATTGTATTGAAATCTATTATCTCTTGTGTATGTGTGTAGTCTTGTAACAATCTTGAAAATTTGGTGAGATTTGAAAAACTACAAACCGAAATATTTTTTTAATATTTTGCGCACGATTCAAATAAAGGACCTCTTAAGCACATACGTGACCAAACCGTTTACTCATCGGCATTGTCTCTCGGCGTTATTTTATCAGCGAATATACAGAAATACAGTCCGTGAGTATGTCATGTCGTCTGCGTGATCCGACTCTACAACTCCGGTAAATACTGTCACTCCGGACATTTATATGATGCTGCTACATTTATCCATTTTAGTAATGTGACATTAATGAATGATATGTTTTGTGCATTCAATAGGCGCGTACGACGTTTTATGCAGGACAAATTCTCGACGCACTTATCCATCGAGTTGTTCGACGTGTGTAATGCATAGCTTCACGATGCACGAGTTTACATGCAATTTGCTTTTAGGCGAGAATACAGAACAAATAAACATGAAACAAAATAAGAGCTGTTTCAGCTGGACGAGAATCACATTGAAATAGTCTATTGATTTTGTTGCGAGCTTGGTGAGCTCAGGCAAGGCTTTCATCAAGTGATTTTACGATAATGTTCATGGATTGCGGTTAGGTAAGACTTAGTTCTATGTATTTTTACTGTCGAACGAATAGACATGAACCATTTCGTGGATATTCGTGAGGCTAAGGAACTAGACGAGAAAAACAATACATATGACTAAGCTAATTCTGGAAACTTATTCCACTTTAGATTTTCACGCGAATTTTGTACACAATATACGTATCACTGGTGCGACAACCTCTGCCAGTGATTTTATCAATGCGACGAAAACATCACAATAAAATTTTCGAGAAAAGTGTATGGCGTAAACATTTAAAGTAGGTAGTATGCCTGCAGATTCAATAAAATTACATGAACATGAAGAGCCAATCAGAATTGACAACATTTTAACAAATTCCCTTAGGATGATCGAACAATCTTGCAAGAATCTAGATAAACATGTAATGTATAATAGTTTCAACGGGCATCTACTCGTACAATACGTATAACAAAGTTGTTTATTGCGAATATATTGTAAATATAATTGTATATAGGGGGTGAAAAGGCGAGTTACGTAACTGAAACGTGTGTTTATGCCAGCAGATGTGCTATCGTCTATGTCGTCTAGGTCGGTTGGCGCACGCCCGGCGCGGCGATGATGGCGGTGGGCAGCATTTACGACCTACCTACCGATTATTGCAATTGACCCAAATGGACTCCGTTGATCTGTGAAGTATCACTTTAATAAGTTTTAATAGATCACGAGTGGCGCTGTATTTTTTTTCTTTGTACCGTTTTCTAAGCTGTCCACTGAACAAGGATAGAATACTGCCTATACGTTTTTAAAGTACTTTAACCGGATAGGTTTATGATTAACAACACGGAAGAAGTTTTTGTTTATTATTTCTGCCTGCAGTCGAATAATCATTTTGATTTAACATGCCCAGCAGGGGATGGCGGCACTCTTTTGTTTGTTATTTCTCATCCAACACATTATTTTACTCAATATAAAACTAATTTCTTTGAATAACTCCATAAAAACGTAACATGAACACGCGCACGATATTTTTAAATAAGTAGACTATTATTCTAGCTCCGTCTAAAGATGTGGTGTTTTAATTTAATATGGTTACTTTTTTGTACGATGTTAAGTAAAACATTTCGTGGTATGGACACAATGAGTTTTTTGCGTAGATTCTAATTTCTGTGGTAAGTACGCTGTGTAGCCACCGTATTTGCCCACGCGCAAGTGTGTCCTCCTGTGCGACCGTTCACGGCCAAGGCCAAACAGATAATAAACGCGTAATGACGAACGATGTGCTACCGAGCAAAAAAACGTGCGCGCATGCCCACGTGGGGAGTCTTTACAAACCTCTTACATCATTTAATGACTCGGAAAATTACAACTAATAATTACAAATGAGAATTTTTGCGTGACCCGAGCTGTCACAGACACAGATTAAATGAAAAAATCACTTTTTTGTTTATAATTTATGTGGCTGTGTCATCCACCTGAGAATACAAATCCCCATCAGATAAATGTTGGCTGTAAGTGGTTACTGGCTACTGTACGAGTGCTTCATTTAGAGAGACAAGGAACCATCTAGGAGGGCGATGGCCGTCGTAAATCACAGCCGCGCTCACCTCTGTCACTAATGGACTCCTGTCAACTAGGCAATCGTACGACATAAT